AGTGACCACCTTTTCCCATCAGACCCCACCTCTTAACAGCAAGTCAGCTATGAACCCTCAGAATCCAGTCACTTTCCAGAAGCCCTGTCTATGAATGTCTGAGGCTCTTAGGGGCCATCTAGTTACAAACTATAACAGCAAAATGATGTAAATTCGTTATGTTGCAGTCAATTAACTCAGATGCAAAAGCTGAACTTGAAATGTAAGCATCTGAGTATTAGTACAATTTTATGGGCTTCAGAAGATTACTGGTGCATGAGCTCAAGCTGAAAATACTCAGCTACTCAAAGTAACAGCCATGGAAAGAAGTGTTCTAAGAGGAAAGATCCGGTGACTCAGAGAAGCCCTCAAAGTGTAAGTATACAGAACTGTCACTCCACCTGTTGGAATCTGCTGAGGGAATAACTGTTCTTCCCTGACTAGTTGAATTCCTGGGTAGCCGTCTACCTGTCAAACAGTATCTTCCAGATCCTTTTCTTTTGTCAAGTAAAATGTATAACACTAGTCTGAAATGATGAGAGCTTTACTATTATTATTATTATTATTATTATTATTATTATTATTTACTGCTTTTGTGGCTAAATATTTTCCCTTTCCTTCCCAAGTAAGTATAAGGAGTCATTTAAGAAAAGGTTTGTTCTGCCAAGAGTGGTATCACATGCTTCTGTCCCAGCACTTGGGAGCCTGAAGCAGGCGGATGCCTGTGAATTCTAGGCCAACTTAGACCTACACAGGGTGTTTTTCCCTCTGAGCTGTTTTTGGTACGTGTTAGATGTGATCACATTCATTTCCTCACCGACCCTTCAACCCCTCCTCCACTCTCCATTTATAAAACCTTTGTTTCCATTTTTTTCCTCTTCTCATTTTTCTTTACTTTGCCCTCCTTTCTTTCCCCCCTCTCTCCTCTGTTGTTCCCCTTCCCATTTGAACATTTTCTTCCTATTTCCCAATAACTATTATATATTTTGGTCCTTATTTATACTTTTGGTTCCCTACATTAGAGAAACAATGCAGTATTTACACGTGTGTCCAATGCATGTCATACATAATGGGTTTATTTTTTTTTCTTTCGATACCGGAGATTGAACTCATGAACTTACACTTACCAGGTAGGCACTGTGCCGGTGAGCTACATCCCTGGCCCCATAGTAAGTTTAAAGCCAGCCTGAAATATATGGCAAGATCCTCAAACAAACAAACAAACACAAAAGACTTGTTTTACTCATACTTGGTGATTTTAAGGAAAATGAACTTCTTCTAAATTCAGTTTTTAAACTAGAATCAATTTTTCTCAGATAAACAACCTGTGCATATACTATTTAAACACATATTGTAAAGACTAATTGATCAGAAGACCACAAACTCTGTAGTGGCAATATGGGCTAAATAACAGCAAGTCCCTAAAAACATCCTTGCTGTTAAGTGTTAGACCAAAATGTCTAAAAAGATATCAACAAATATCACAGTATCCAGTAAATTACACCACTGTTTGTGATAAACTTTGATATAAATAAGTTTTCTATGTAAAATAATCCATTCTTATCATTTGGTTTTGTGTTTTGTCAGGGAAGGAAAAGAACACCTGTACTGGTTGACTCAACAGGATATAGTCACAACTACAGGCCTTGAAAGTATTTTCTCTCACTATATTTAATCTTTTATGATCTTAGAAATGTTATTTTTAATCTTTAAAAAATGTTGGATTGTATTTTCATACTTACAGAGAGAAAATTTAGAAATTGTGTTGCCATATACTTCAGGTGAAATCAGTCAACACATTTAGGGTCACTAAAAGATTTTAGAGCATCACAATACTATCCTAACTAGGACACTAAATAATATATAGCTAGTTAGACATTTATTCAGCAATTGAATCTGTGTTGGATACCCTCAGTGGTCATCTGTCTTAACTGTTTTAACATGTTCAGTAGTCTGCTTGGATAAGTTGTTTGCTGTTCTAGCTACTCTTTGAAAATTAGTCCAGATCCTAAATGAATTGTATGATCAGAGGAAAATGGCAAAAATGTGATGAATGAAAAGAAAGAAAACAAATGGAGAAATCCTTCAAAGAGGAAGCTAAATAAATGCACTAGACATCCAATAAGCATAATGACTTTTAAAATACATAAGAAAGTCCTTAAAGGCCTGAGGGAGGAAACTGAAAAATATTACAAAAATCACTTATGAAGCATCATTGACGATATAAAGTACAAATAATCTAGGAGAGATAACATGAGTCACTTTCCTGTTTCTGGGCCAAAAATTCCTCACCTCCTGAAAGTGTCAGGCATCACCCTCAGGCATCTTCCCTTAGAGGAGGAGATATTTATTTAGCTTGGGTTTCAGGGCATGGTCAGCTGGCTACAAGGCAGAGACACTATGGCAGAAGGGCCTGGTGGAAGAAAGCTGCTTAGCCTTGGGAGCCGGGAAGCACAGAGAGAAGGGAGTTGCTGAGGACAAAAATACCCCCTGCCAGCTCACACCGCAGTGACCTGTCTGTTCTGACCAGCCCTCCCTCCTCAACACATTCAGCTGTGAACTCATCAGTGGAGTGAATATAGTACCTCCATGATTTTCAGTCACCTTCCAAAGTTCCACCTCTGAAGAGAGTTTTGGGGCTCATTTTAAATCAAAACCATAACAGTATGCATAGTGTTACATAAACGTTAATACTGTTTTTCATGGTGAATTTATCTAAAGAACAAAGTAGTAAGCTGAGAAATTAGGGCAATCAACTTCTTTGGAAGGATCAGCAAGTAAAAGTATTCCTAAAAAACAGAAAATTTAAGACATAGTGACAGACCTCAGAATAATAGCATCTAGACTGCACCAGCACAGAGAAAATATTGACAGAACATTAAAATGAGAATTTTATATCAAATTAAATATAAGGCTAAAATAAGATTATGAGGCACACAAAGCCTTGGAAAGCTGACGTTAAAAAATCCTATTGGAAAATACTTTGGAAGAAACTATGAGCAAGAAAAGGAAAGAATCCAGGAGGTAACAGAGAGATGTAGAAGTGTGTAGGCAGTGAAGCTCTGCACTGTGTTTAAATCAAGACCTGCCACTGTACATTTCATACAGCTTCAGAGAAAGAGAATGGAACACTTACTTCATCCTGGAGGCTTCATGTATATTTTATCTATTGGAGAAAAATTGGCCCCAAACCCTCCTGTATCAATTTACAACACAGTCTACATGCGAATAAGCAGTATTTTCTGACATCAGGGTGATATTTAAAATACATTAACGGCTAGCACAGCACCAATGACACCAGTTTCCAACCAGAACAGGTTCTAGTGGTGTGCTGCCATGGGTCAGTGAATGAAGTCCCTCCAGTGAACATAATCATTACTGCAGAGATGTACTAATACTAAATTCAAAAAGAGAAATAACAAATGGACTTTAAAACAGAGGACATAGCAGAGAGTGTCTAGACACTCACCTGTCTTGTTTTTACTTCTTGGGCATATAGGAATGCTATAGTTCAAAGCATCTGTTACAGTTAGGTCATTTAGCTTGAAGCCATATGGCCGGGAAACAGAGTGTAGAATATTTGTATCATTTGCAGAATTGGACTTTTCTACTGGCACAACTGTAAACAAAAGATTCTGGAAGAGCAGAACTTCTCTGAGTCAACATTGAGAGAGAGCTGCTAAGTAGAGCTGTCAGACCAACTTTGGCCTGTGACTTTGTTAAGCCATTGGAGTTTGAGGATGATTATTCACAGGAAGTAGCAAGTCTCACCATGGCAAATACAACTCTCATATTCAAAGATAGGATACAGAATCAATTGCATATCTTTAATACAGCTCTATGTGATTAATAATACTTTTTTTTTTCTTTTTGTCTATTTGAGACAGGATCTCACTACGCAGTTCAGGCTGGCCTTGAGCTCACTTTGTAGCCCAGGCTGGTCTCAAATTTGCAAACCATTCTCCTGCCTCAGCCTCCCAAGTGCTGGGATTACAGAAGTGCGCCACCATACCTGGCTTTTAGTAATCCTCTTAAAGTCTGCATTTTATCTTTTCAAATATTGGAAAATAAAAAGAATCGTATGAAAAAGAATGTTTGATACCAGAACATAGTCTTTGCATAAACAGGATCACTAATGAAGAAACAGAGAGAAAATAGAAATGGATAGTTCTTCAAAAGAGAATAAAAACCAAACACAGTAAGGGAGAGATAAAAAAGCATTCAACAGTGACTCCTCGTTCAACAGGAAAAAATGTAGAAGAAAAGGATAAAGTTGTAGCAAGTCTTAAAGATAAAAATTACATGCTACCTTCAGAGCATCTTACCTGAAAAATACCCCCTGCCGGGTCACACCGCAGGGATTGGGGTGCTCAGAGTTCCTTATCTAAAGGCTTGGAAAAAAATATCAGTATAGAAGGGTAATAGTTAAGGGATGGTTTGAAAATGTAAGTGCTTCCAAAGAAGAAATTAGCATGTAAGATAATAAAAACCTGATTTTAAGAGAAGTGCATTTTGGAAAACTTTAAAGGAGAAACACATTTTTGAAGTAGGGTGGGGATCAGATATACTGACTTTTTGAACTTTAAGTTTCCTACTTAAAAAAACCATATTTTTCAGCATTTCATGCCCTTCCCTTTGACAAAATGTATCCTCTTCATAAGGATCTACACTCATTCCTTTAATTTATACTTATTGATTATCTCTAGTGTGGAGAGCATTCAAAGTGCACTGTATGCAATGTGCATGAAAAGAATAGTCCTTAAGGATTTTGTTATTTATCTCAATAGTTCTTTCACTCTCTTTCAACTGAATGGAACAATTAGTACAGTGGTCACAAACAGGAACTCAAAACCAGATTATCAGGTTCAAATATTATTCAATTTAGTAGGTGTGTGACTTTGGAAAAGTTATTCAACATGGAGATAGAAAAACAAAATTCCTCACGGAGTTAATTTGAAGTTAACTTTTCTAAGGAAACTGTAAAAGTGCATATTACAGAGTAAGCACTACATGTATTGTAGGAGAAGAATCTGTAAGGTGCTCTGAAAAGAGAGAAGAAAGTGGCATTTTACTATTCAGGAACGGGAAGGGCCTCAGAAGAATGGGACTTTGCAGACCAAGGACAAGAGGCAGTAGGTAAGTATTAAGTCATGTTTGAGGCATACTAGGTTAAATATCACATGGTTTTTCTTATATGAGACAAATAGAGGAAGAATCAGCACGAAATACAAAATACATAAATTGGAAGTAGGGAGAAGTTTTAATATTTCCCCAAATCACATACTTCACTATTTAAGAATTATTTTCATATACATATTAATTTGTTTTATTCATGCTATTAGTTTAACTTAATTCATTGAAAAGAAAGTTTGTTTTATTATCTCTTTGCTTCTTCTTTGTAAAAAATCTTTTGGTCTGTGTCTTGTACTTTAAGCAACTACTCTGAAGTTAATAATACATAACACATTAACTACTGTTATTTTCTATTATTACTTTGTTATGAAATTTTGTTTTTTTATAAAATAAAAAAATAATATTTGAGTTATTTAAAAAGTCTTTTAGGGGACCAAAAGATGAAGGGAAGAGAGAGAAAGCAGGGGAAGAGGAAATAAAAATATTAAGATATGTTATATCATGTACCAAACTCCCATTGAATGTAATCATTATTTACTGCACTCACCCAGGTATGGAAGCACACATCTGGAATCCCTGCCCTCAGTAGGTTGAGGCAGGAGAATTGTGAGTTTGAGGGAAGACTGGGCTACATAAAGGAGTTCAAGGCCAGCCTCCACTACATAGTGAGGCCCTACCTCAAGCAAAACAGAAAAATAAAAAACCTAAGAATTTTTTTAAAATGGCATTGAGATGGGCAGACAGTGGAGGGAAGGAAAGGAAAGGGAATAGAAAAGGAATTGACATGTTTAGTTAATTTTATCATTGCTGAAACAAAATACCTGACACCCACAGATGGAGGAGGAAAACTTTATTTTGGTTCATTGTCTGTAGAAGTTTTAGACTGTAGTCAACTGACTGCATAGCAAATGGACATGGCACAGGGTCTTGGCAGAAGAGAGTCCACAGACAGAAAGCAGCAAGCAACCCTGCCACTTGATTTTGTCCAACTCAGCTACAAGCCTTTTAGGCCTAAAAGTTGGGAATCAAATTTTAGAAAATCCATTCAGCCACACCTAGAATTCTAATGTAGTGGGCTAATTCTGTACTACACACCCTAGATAATCTCCAGTTGCTTCCAAAAAGCCCCAGCTCTGAGCACAAGAAGCTTTGAGGGACAACTAGACACAAGCCTTAACAGATGTTGTGTATGTATACCTACTTCCTAAAGGAATATGAATGTTAAGTACTACACACATGTAAAAGATTTTTTTTTTTAAAGAAGGGTATGGTATAGAGGAATCCTTGAGTGTGAATTCGTCATTCAGAGTACTGAAAGGTTTTTGCCCCAGATGGGACACTGTAGCCAGTGGGAGGCTGGGAGGTGGAACCAAGAGGCTCTATCTTGAGGTCACCTTTCCCGCCCCTAGGCAATTTACCTGTGGCGTGAAATGAATACCAATGGGCTACCTGTGCATCACTAATGCCCCTTAGGCACCACCCCAAGCCTAAGCTACATGTATGACCCCACACCACATGTCTGGCGGAGAGAATGCCAGACCACAGAGGTCATGGAGTCTCTCTCCACATTCTTAAAATAAAGGCTGCTTTTATTTCATACTTCTTATCATTTAGCCACTTTTATTTTATACTTCTTATCTTTTTAGCCGCACGGAAAGTTCTATCAGATGGTTCCCTGACCAGGAAAGGCAGATGAGAGACTGCTGGTGAGTCCCCTGCCATTCATGGACCAGACTGCATACTGGATTAATTCCTCACTTCTCAACACGTGGGAGCTGCTAAACTTGTCGATGCTGGTTTGCAAACAACACTGATCTAATTCATTTACCACAGGTGAGCAAACTCCGGAGATTACTTGGCACTGGGCCAGCCCCTACGTGGGTTTTCTTTGCATTCCCTGGACTCGAGTGGTACTCTCATGTCCTTAGATAGCCCCGAGGCAGAGCCTTTAAGCTCTCACGTCCTTTAGAGCCTTTAAGCTCTCACGGCAGGGTCCTTACTGTAATCCACAGGAACTCTACTTGTCTTTGGTGATGGCCAAAAATCACGAGCTTTGAAACCCATAACTGATTACCATTCAGTCTAAAAGGTTAAGGTGATGATCTGACCTGGTTAGGCCACAGTCCGTTGCCTCACCTGACTGTGACTCCATGGGCCAGGCCCTACACTGGATTTTATCTTGGGGACCACTTCCTGTCCCCCCAAAAAACCATACCTATTTATAGTTTATCACACTGATGACAAGTTTATAAAAACTCTTCAAAACTGTCTATCTTTGGGCCTTTGTTTTAAGAATGTGTCCTCTCCTTCTGCTCCCCCAGGATCCTTCCACCTCCCCACACTTAGGAGATAACATAGCATCTTTCTTTACAGCCTTTCAAAGTTTTCTCAGAGTCCTTCTTTCCTCCCTGGTGACCTGCCTTTCCCACCGGGATGGGGGAGGTGCACCCAGACAGTGTTGGGGGAAATACCCGCACACTGCTCTGGGCCTTCAAGCCACGCCCCAGCTCTGCACCCCGCCCGCCCTGCGTGCCCTGCCTACTCTACATGGGCACTCCGCCCACCCTCTGTGTTCCGCTCCGCCCTGTGAGCTCCTCGGGTCTCCTGAGCAGTCCCAGCCCCTGCCCCCGAGTGCAAGCGCTGCTCTGAGCTCAAACACAGACAAGTGGTGCTCGGAGAATGAGACAATAGGATGCTATGGGAAAAAGGACCAAATTTTGTTTCAAGGGATCTCTTAATTTATTTACAAAAGGGTTCACACCAGCCTTTTTTCCCTTCTCAAACCATTTAATCAAGGTTTATTTGGGTTATAGATTTAAAAAAAAAATGCCTCCACCTAGTTTGCTAGCTGCTCAAAATGTTGCTAAAATTAATTAAATAAACTAGGGTAAAAAGACAATAGACAAGACTTTAACTAATAAATGGGGAAGTGGCCACCTGGTAACTTTACCAGCCTTGTTAATCAATTAAAGCGTTCAATAATCTCCATAACCTTATGTGAGACACCTCAACTAAAGTTCATATGACTAAGACAGTTCATTGTTGCTTTCAAATATAAAATTGGGATTGTTTCTGCTGCCTTTTTCTTGTGTTCCAGCCAAGAGATAGAAATCAGACCAACATGAGTAAACCAGTCAAATAATAATTTTAAACAAAAATTTATGTAATGTATGATGACAAATGTTTTCTTTCAGATCCAGACATACACTTAGAGATGTTTCACAAATTTCTTCAGCATTCAAATGTTAAAATACTCATGGTTGATAGCTTTTTAATGTTCTATGTTAATCTTACTGCCTATATTGTACTGTACTGTTAATCTTCTAGATGTTTAACAACTGAAATTAAGAGGTAATTATAAATTCCTTTTAGATTCCTTTTGCTGAAAATCACTAGGTCTTTTCCAGAAAAAAGGCTATATGATGCATGCAAAACAACTAGACCAACACTGGGGTAGAAGCCAGGCTTGAGCCTTTTCCAGCCTGTCTGCCTGCCCTGGCTCAACCCTCTGCTGAGCCATAATTAACTATATTCAGCTGACATTAAATGACACCATAGCTGATCTCTTTCCTAAATAAAAATAATAAAACAGGCCATCCTCCAAAAATCAGATGGCATTAGACTTTTTAATAACATAAAGAAATACTTATATATGACATAAATGACATGTCAGTTCCTAAAATTCCCTGGACCTTGTCCTCCTTATGGGAATTAATTCTATAGATAGCTTCTACTGTGAACCAGATCCCAAGACAAAAGGCTAAACTTGGCCCTCAAACCCCACAGAGACCTTCTTAATATCTTTTATCAGTGACACTTGGAATTCTGAGACAGGTAAACCAACACAATGTGAAGCTGCCTAAGCCCCATGGACCATACCTCAAGTGCAGCAGAAGGACATTGGGCAAGAGAGTGCCCCATCCTGGCGTTCCTTTGAGACCTTACCACAGGGCTACTAGACTTTCCTAGCCACCAGAGAGTGGGTAAGCCATCCTAACTTCCTCACAGGAAATGCCAACACTTCCAGATTCATCGCTGACAGATCTGCTTCAACTTGCTGCTAAAGACTGATGGGGCTCAGGGCCCACAGCCCCCATTAAGGTGTCCTTCTCAGAGTCCCAAGTCCCATTAGAGATCTCAGGCCAGACATTCTCTATACTTGTGGACATGGGGCCATGTATAGGGTTCTTCCTGAGCTTTCAGGCTGCTATATTAAGTCCTCAGTCTCTCTAGGGAGTACTGATGGCCAACCTATGCAGCTATACAGACAGGGCCTATTTCGTGCAGGTTCCAGACTGCTTCTTCCCAATCCATCCAGTGGTGCCAAAGCCTCCCTCCCCCCTCACTTTACAGTCCTAAATCTTAAAAATGCCTTTTTATTCCTTTGTGTTTATGCAGACTGACCCAGGCACTCTGAGGCCTCAACAGCTTACACCTGTTATCTCTAATAAACCCTCTCCTCAGGGATACATAGCACCCCTTCCTTTCCTATTCATCAGTTTCTCAGACACAACCCTAGTCAAGACTGACAGATAAATTTTACCTTCTTGCCTTTGTTTATACTTTTTCAGGATATATAAAAGCCTTTCCCACAACCAGGGAGACTGCTGATATACTTACTAATGTCCTGTTACAGCAAGTCATGCCAAGGACTGCAACCAAATTAGAGCAGCCCATACCTGGCCTTCTTGGCAACCTCAACAGTGGTCAAAGTTGCTGGACTGCCATCCTGGTTCACATCACTCAGGCTAAGTGGTGCCCTCCCAGCCCTAGATCTGACCATCCTTTTGCCCACTCATCTCCACCTCACCAAGGCCTCAACTCTCAGGCTGTCATGTTTTATTATCGAATTTCTTTCCTAATTTCTTATCCTTTTTACAGCAGGATTCTCAACAGTCTTTCCTAAAGATTCCCACATCATGCATACCAGACACAAGTCTTACCAACCTACCCTCTTAACTTTTACCCTTTTAGATGGGGGAATAAGCACCTCTTATAACCTCACACTTATTTTTCAGAATTCTACCTCAACATGATCCTGATAAAATGACATATCCAAATCAAAGGCATCTATCCTTCTACCTCACCTGGGTGCTTAAATATGATAGTGGCCACCACCTCATAACACCTTGTCTCTTTGTTTTTCCAGTCTAATGTATGGGCATTCACCAGTGATAAAGTTGTCCTGGTTAAAAAACCTGGCACCAGCTTCTACATGGGCATGAACCGTCATCCTGTCGGCACTCCTAAACCCCAGTACAGCGCCCCCTTTCAGCAATAAATAGTAAAAGAAAGAAAATCTTCACGCTTTTTCTAATAATCAAAAGGTAGGAATGAAAGGTTTTTGCCCCAGATGGGACACTGTAGCCAGTGGGAGGCTGGGAGGCAGAACCAAGGGGCTCTTGGTTCCTTTTCCCGCCCCTAGGCAATTTACCTGTGGCGTAAAATGAATACCAGTGGGCTACCTGTGCATCACTAATGCCCCTTAGGCACCACCCCAAACCTAAGCTACATGTATGCCCCCACATCACGTGTCTGGCGGAGAGAATGCCAGACTCCAGAGGGCATGGAGTCTCTCTCCACATTCTTAAAATAAAGGCCGCTTTTATTTCATACTTCTTATCTTTTAGCCATTTTTATTTTATACTTCTTATCTTTTTAGCCATGCCGAAAATTCTGTCAGATGGTTCCCTTCCACACCGAAAATTCTATCAAGTACTATAGTTACTCTGTCCTTTGTATTTGTGCTGGGACAAGACATGGGGGAACGGGTGTCTTATACAAATGCTTAGATCTAAACTAGATGCAGCTCTGCTCTCTTTTATTTAATGGTCACAATATAGTCAAGAAAGCTAGTTTTTTTTTTTTTGCTTGTCCTCTATACTCTCTGTTTTCTTAATTACATCTCATAATTGTTATGCTGTCAAGTATGTTAGTTATACACTTGGTATAAGACTTATAGTGTGAATAGTTGTATTGCTTTACTTTAAACCCTTATTATTACGAAGAAGAAGATTGACTTTGCCAGAAATAGTTTCTCCATGTTGCTGGTTTTAAATTTGTTCACTCTAGCTGGTTCTGGTAGTGCACACTTGTTATCCCACCACTCGGGAAGTTGAGGCAGGAGGATTGTTGTGAGTTTGAGACCAGCCTGGACTGAAAAGTGAGCTCAAGGCCAGTCTGAACCACATAGTAAGACCCTGTCTTGAAAAGGCAAAAAAACAAAAACATAAATTTGTTCACTCTAGTAAAATAAAACAATGGCTTCTCAAATGAAGGTCTCATGGTAGTCTCTTAGAAACAGGTCGGTGACACTACCTTGACAACAGGAGATAAGATGTTCAAATCACATTTTATATGTTTAGTTTAACCATCTGGCTAAGTTCATGGAAAAACTTCAGTACCCTCTGTGACATTTTCCCAGGTAAACAATTAAAGAATTTATCAACAAACTGAAAAAAAGTGACTGTCTTTTGCTGGGTAAATGAGATTCTTTGGCTTTTGAGAATAACAAACTATTAATTTGTCACTTTAATTCCTGAAAACATTCAAATTTTCAGACTTTACTGTATATGAGTATGCCAGCATTTGGAAGACTAAACATTAAAAGAAGAAAAGCCAAAGAGGAAGATTAGCTTTCCAGTCTTTGCAACCAAAGTGCGACACTTTTTAAAAAAATATTTTTCATTTTGTTCTATTGTTATTTTTATTAAAAATGCATAATTGTACATACTTACATAGTACAACTCATGCCTTTTATATACTATTGGAAGTTCTGGTAATTTACAACAGAGTAGATTACTGTAGCTAGCTGAGTACATGACTGTAGCTAATAATATTTTGGATACTCCCAGCATCAGCATTTTCAAAAGCTTTTTAAAAAGTGCTGTTGTGATTGATAAGATTGAGAGGCAAAATCCTAGAGAAATTATTCAGATGACCACAGTTAGGATGTGTGTTGCCATAATCTCCCGACATGGTGCTGTCAACTTCAGATCTCAGAACAAAAGCAAATTGAGTTATTACAGTTATTGTCTAATCTGTCTGTTTTGATGTTTGTCCTCATGTAGAACAGAGCATAGGAGAATAGTCATTATCATTTTTAAAACTTCAAGTAAAATTAAAATCTATCCTCTCTCCTCTCCTACTTCCTTTCTTTTTTAACCTTTTCTTTTCTTTCTGAGATACCATCTCACTCACATGTAGTCCAGCCCAGTCTTGCATTCCCTATGGAGTCCAGGCTGGTCTCACAGAGCCTCCAGCTGGCAAAGATTCCTGGCATGCTCATTCATAGCACAGCAGCTCAGTGAGTATAAATGCAGTGAATTTATCTCCCAGATGTGGCAGAGTACCTGTCTTCATTGTTGCCATGGCGTTTTGTTTTTTGTTTTGGGGTTTTTTTTTTTCCTGTTGATTCATTGTTTTTATAGCATACTTAACCTTGCTACGGTTGTATGCTAGATTCCATCTTTATGTGTTCCATACCACTGAGGCTATAAAAATTAACAATATCCTAAAGAAGGTTATTTCCAAAATAAAACAGTGATTATTTTATCTTTTTCTATATGTATATTTATTATACAAACTTGGAAACACTTAAAATGGAAAAAAACATTTTTATGAAAAAATCCTATTTTGTTTGAAATAAAACAAAAGCATTAACCTAGAAATAGTAAATATTTATTGCAGAAATTTCAGACAATATTGAGAATCCAGGTAAATAGAGACAGATGATGGTGTAAGAGGAGCTCATTGAGCTGAGGGCATGAATGATCATTTTTGAGGATGATAACCCTTTTGTACTTTGATTGATTATCATTTTGGTACTATAACTTCTACTATTTTGAACACTTAGAAGTTTTAAGGTCTATTCATATGATTACACCACAGATTAGCAAAGTATTTTTTTATTCCTGTGCTGCTTCAGTATGACTCGGTACCTAAATAATATTCCACATTTTTGATGCTCCATGAAATCACTAGGACTGAGTTATTTCTCAGATGCACATAAGAGGGCACCAATGATCAGAAAAAAGAACTGTTTTCTCCAAGTTTATCCACCTAGGAAAACTAACACAAAAGAGAAATTGTCAGACTGTTAGATGTATCAATCTCTTAATTTTGTTTTTCTTCCTTTGTCTTTTATTCTTAGAAATCTCTTTCTTTTAGATATAAAAGATACCAACTCATTTTTTTCCAGTTGTTTGCAGTGTTTATTTGTATATTGTTAAATAACTAAAGACATCTGGGATACGTGTTGTTGAAATGAATTAGCAGCTTTTTTCTTAGGGGATAATTTGATGAAATAATTCAAAATTTATATGTAGAAATAAACACTGATAAAAGCTGAGAAGTATTTGACAAGAAAAATAGCACTGGAGCAGGGAGATTGTACCTCTAAATTTTTTAATGATAATTATTTAATAGTTAGCACTGAGCTGTTTCAAGGAAGATCAGTTCTGTTCAGTGTAAAGAGATATTTAAAATAACATGAAAAATTCCTTTTTCTCAGAGCAACTTAATTTACTAATGTGGGATCTGGTAACTTTTCCGATTTAATGTTACAATTTTAAAAACAAAAATGCAAGCCAAATTTTTCTAATTCTAAAAATTTCTTAGTGCCTATGAATTTTACATGTTAAGTTTCACTGTCTAGAATACATGTTGATGATTATCATTCCCCAGTTACCCTCCCTTGCCACTGACCCCCTTTTACTGAGGGTCTCCCTTCTACTTTCCCTGTAATCCCAGCACTTGGGAGGCTGAGGCAGGAGGATCATTGTGAGTTCAAGACCAACCTAGGCTACAAAGTGAGCTCAAGGCCAGCCTGAACTGAGACCCTACCTCAAAAAGACAAGAATTAAAAATTAAAAAAAAATGCAACACTTGTCTTTCTGGGTCTGGCTTAACATCATGATCTCCAGTATCATCCATTTTTCTGCAGACAACAAAATTTTAATCTTTGTGGCAGATTAACAGTCTGTTGCGTATACATACCACATTGTCTTTATTCATTCACATGTTTTGGGGCACCTTGCTAACAGCGAATTGTGTCCAGTAAACATGGGTATGCAATTGTCTCTATAGTTGACTGACTTTTATCAATTAAGAAATAGTAGAGTTAGATCATATGGTACTTGTATTCTTAATTTTTTGAGAAACGCACTCATTTCCATAGAGCTGCACATTTCCACCAGCACTAAATAATAGTTCCTTTTTTCCTGCATCCTTGCCAGCACTTACTATTTTTGTATTCTTTGATGATGATTATTCTAACTGGGGTGAGATACAATCTGAATGTAGTTTTGATTTTCTTGGTGGCTGAGGATATTGAACATTTTTTTCATATACTTTTGGCTATTGGTACTGCTTCTGAAAAATGTGTGTTCATTTTGCTCATACATGATTGGGCTATTTGATTTTTGGTGCTAAGTTTCTGGAGTTCTTTTTAATCTTTGCTTGGGAGACTAGCTGGCAGAGGGTTTTTTCCCATCCTATAGGCTATCTTTTCACATGTCAGAAACATTTTAGTTTGAAGGAATCCCGTTTGTTGATTCTTGCTACTACTTCCTGTGTTATTAGATTTTGCCTGGGCCTGTTATTAGTACAGTTGGGAACCGTGGAACTGAGGACATCATTTCCCTTGCATCCATTTAGTTCTAAACTTCACTCTAGAATCAGTCCACCTTCCATTGTCCTAAAAGAGGTAGAAAATAATGTAACAAAATCCAGAAGATCTGTGCTGCTCTAAGTAAGAGCACATGTGTGTTGGTTCTCCTAACCTGACCTTCAGATACCCTACTCAAACATCCTTAAGTGTCCATAAATATGTACTATCAAGTGTGTGGTTAAGATCATAGTGAATTCTGAATCAAACACGTGTGTCGAGAGCCCCTGAGATAACATAGTACCTTGTTGAACATTCCTGTCCATCACACCTAGACACTCAGGAGAATGCTCCAGGCTGAGGTGCCCCGCCTTTAAGTTCCAAAAGTCTGGCTGCTCAGTGGATGCTCCCATATGCTGTGATTGGGGTGTAGTGCTCTTACTTTTCTGTTATCCTGACACCATTTTTCTGTCTGTGCTTTATCTTTTGTTGACACACTTGCCCAAGCACAACTTTCTGTGGTCCTCGATAAAACTAGCTGCCTGCCACTTTACCCTGTTGTACGCTCGCAGTTCCTTCCTCATCATACTCACGGCCTGGACTGCATTTGCCCATCCGCAGTAACGCTGTGCTTCCCAGCCTTTCCCCTTTGTTTTCTTCTGGTAGTTTCAAGGCTTCAGACTTCATATTTAAGTCTTCAGTCCATTTTAAATTGATTTTTTTTTTTGGTACTGGGGCTCAGTACACAACCTTGTGCTTGCCAGGCAGGTGCTTGTGCTGCTAAGCTAAATCTCCGGCCCTTTGAATTGATTTTTGTATTGGGTAAGATGTAAAAATCCAATTTCAGTCATCTGTACTTGGATATCCAGTTTTCCCAGCACCATTTTTGAAGGCAGCTGTCTTTTAAGCATACAAGTTTAAGTTTGTTCATAACCAAATGGCTGGTTGTGCAGGTTTGTTTCTGTGTCCTCTATTTTTGTTTCACTGTTGTGTGTGTCTTTTTATGCCTGTATCATGCTGTTTTTTTTTTTTTTTTTTTTTGGTCTTTTTCATTTTTATCGGTACCGGGGATCAAACTCACAACTGCCTGCTTGCAAGGCAGGTGCTTATGCCGCTGAGCTAAATCCCAGCCCCTATCATGCTGTTTTTGTTACCATGGCTTTGTTGTATATGAAATCGGGCATCATGATGCTTCCACCCTTGCTTTTCTTGTGTAGAATTGCTTTAGCTATTCTGTGTATTACGTGCTTCCATATGAATTTTAGAATCACTTTTCCTAGTTCTGTGAAGAATGTTACTGGAATTTTGGTGGGGTTGTTATTGAATTTGTAGGTTATGTTTAGTGGTATGGCCACTTAACACCATTAATTCTGAAGAATCGTGAACATGTGAGACCTTTTCATCTTCTGATATCTTCTTTGATTTTTCATCAGTTTTCTACAAATTTGATTATAGAGATCTTTCATCTCTTGGTTAGACTGATTCTTATTTCATTTTATTGAAGTTTATTATGGCTTCTATCTAGATGGAGAATTTAGCTGTATTGAGCTCTATTGATTTGCTCCTGCATTTTTGAAGTTATATTTTTAAGTTACTTTCAGTTCTTAAACATTGATAGCAAATCAAGAACAGATTGTATGTTGTACATTCAGAGATTTTATTGTCTGTTTATTTTTAAATAGTGTCCACATTGTTCCTGCCTTGAAGCTATTGCTCTATATTTCAGCTGACTTCTTTTAGCTCCTTTCCTTTGATCTCTTGAATTAAAAAACATTGAAAACTTCTTAGGTATCATGTCATTAAATATATCCTACTTTGGACAAAATGCTTACTGCTGATAAAACAAACTTCCTACAGGTAAAACATTAAAAATTGACAAGCAATATAGAATAATAGAGAAAAAAATGGAAGGAATTAATTTTGTGGTAGAAAAGATCATGGTAGTAGAGAGATGAGAAGCACAGTGCACTCATGTGGAGGGCATGAGGGGAGGAGTGGCAAATGCTAAACCTGGAGAGAGACGGTTGGAGTCAGTTCTCTCCTAGACCTAGCAGTTATGGTAAGGATTGAAAATCTTCCAAAAGCCAATCAATTGAGAATTTTAAAATAGCTCCATGAATGGAATGACTTGATTAATTAATAGTTTGAAGAGGTCACTTTGAGCATAAAAACAGACACACAAACTCCTGGGCGTGGTGGCACATGCCTGGAATCCCAGCACTAAGGAGACTGAAGCAGGAAGATTGCCATAAATTCTTCGATTTGTGATCTGGGTTATATAGTTAGTGAGCTCATGGCCAGCCTGAACTGTATAGCAAGACCCTGCCACAAAAGTAAGAAAAAAGCCCTGTTATTTCTGGGCAAGGAAGTAAATCCAAGGGTGGAGAATGAAGAGATGTTCAGGACCTTTTCTAATGGATTTTTAGGCTTTAAGGTTCACCTTCATATTAATTTACCCAATTGTAGAGGAAGAAGTTCAAAGTTCTCAGGAGAAAGATGGCTAAAAGGAAAACCATTCTATTTGTGTTACAAATTTCGGAATTAGTTTTTAACATTGGAATTCCTTACTCAGGTGAATCTGCTGTAGTCACAACCAATATATGCTAACAAAAAAATTGATGAATTTACAAATTACATGACCTAAAATGTGAAAGCAGCTAGACTAAAAAAAAAAAAACCAGACCAGGAAGGTGAGAATTCTTTATTTTGTGGCTGGAAAGATGATGATCCTTGACATATAAGGAAGATGTATAAACCATCACCTCTTGCCTATGAGTTCTCGAACTATTGATCCATTAACCTAAAATAGCTCTGTTGATCTGGACCTTGCTTGTGCTGGGTCTCTATGAGCAGCAGAAACTTAGTAGTCACACAAGAAATGTCTGTCAAGTTAATAGTTCTTCATGTTAGTCTAAAGAACTGTAACTATAATAGAAAACAATTAGGATTTTAAACTGTGTTGAACACTTATTTAGACTTTTAGGAGTGTTATTCAAAATATATACTGATGTCTGTCTTTAGGAATGTAAAAAAAAAGCTAATTTTAATCTAATCTGGCCACCAAGAAGTAAATATAGAACAATAAGACAAGCACATACTTTTGTTAATTGAAGCACTTTATTTCTATAAACATTGAAAATCCTTAAAGGTTAGAAAAGAGTTCAGCTTTGTTAGTGCTCTGCTACCTGTTAAATTTATTACAAAAATTAGGAAATAGTAGAATCCTTTTTTTGCAATAGACACAAGTAGGAGAGTTAAAAAGAGTAGAGAACACTTTTTTAGCACCTTTGATTGCTCTTGTCTACTTGAACTAAAGAAATGTTACACTTATCCTAAGCCACACCACCCTGGAACTCATCTGGGAGGCCAAACTATAAAAGAAAGCTTGTCATCATCCTCCCCGTCTGTACTTCTGCTCTCTCTCTTTATCTGGGAACTTGTGAAGGGCATTAAGCAGGGATCAGAGAACAACACAGAGCTCCCAGGTATGGAGCAGAGATGCCATACTGTCTTGTGTAAACCAAGGACTTCAGTGGGCTTGACTGTCCAAAGTTTTTGATTTTAGTAATTTCATAGTCACTTAACTTCAATATGACTACAAGGCAACAGAAATTTAAAATTAACTAAAGTTTCAGGATGTAGACCACCCTCTAGTCCTGAGAATAGGGACTCCTCCATTTAAAATGTACTCTTATAATATATCTCTATACCTATAAGGAATACTTTTTGTTGTTGTTGCTTTGGGAAATTGAACTCAGGAACTTACACTGAGCTACATCTCCACCTTTTTTATTTTTTATTTTGAGACAAGAACTCAGTCACTAATTTACCTATGCTGGATTCAAATTTATGATTTTCCTGCCTCAGCCTCCCAAAGTTCTGGAAATATTGGTGTGTGCCACAATGCTTAGCTAGAATAATTTGTATTTAGAGGGGAAATGTAGTTACCTAGGAAGTCTCTCTTCAATACCCCTCTCAGAATTAATCTGGACAAAGGAAATGTTTCCAAGGACCACTGCTCAAGATGCAGACAAATGCATCAAATGCATTTCCTCTACTTGAAGAAAGCAGGTCGTCAACATTTTATACTACATGCTTCTAACAAAAGATTATTTTCCCACTTTTTCTGTCTTTATAAGATACTTTATTGCTCTTATTCTTCTTTTAGTATGCTTTACCCCTCTGAATCCACTCCCCATCCTTCAGTCTTCTCTATACTACTCTCTGCTGGAACACTAATTGGCATGAACATCAATGGATTCTTTTGTCCAAGCTTCTGGTTGGGTTAAACCAATGAGAATGTTATTGTTTCTTTTGCACAATTTGGAAAGAAATAAACTGGCATGCTGCAGCTCCATAAAGTTAGCATCTCTTGGCTTTGAGTGCCAGTGACTGAGCCCAGGATGTTACAGCTCTTATGGCTATGGGCCTTCCTGGCATCTTCTCCAACTTCTCAGCAGATGAGGCTCACAGCCCCAGTCAGCCCACTGTACCACAGGTAGGGATTCTGACTGGGGACAGGCTCTCTCAAGCAAGGCTGTGTTGGAAACTGCTGCAGTACAGGGTGGGGAGGTGGGTAGTGTTCAAGAGGGAGCCCTCCTTGACTGTTCTGAGGAGTGTAATGCATGCTGTTTGGGAAGAGGACAAGAGTGGGCTGGACAACATACAGCTTTCACATTCCCGTTTGAGAACTCAGCAATGACAGAATGCTGATGGTATCATCTGGGGCATTCAAAGTGGAGTCATCACATCATCACGAGCAGTTGCAGGGTGGAGTTTCCTGAGATAGGTCTGTATTTCAAGCCTACCATGGCTGAAGCTAATCTCCTGGAAGAGCTTCAGGGAATCTGCTATAGCTGCACATGTCGTGGTTACAGCTCCTTGGGACTTGGGGTGACATGGCTGCTCGTTTGACAGTCCTACATTTCTATGAAACTGGAGGGACTGATGTCACAAATGATGCTGTTTGGACGTTGTCTCCAAAAGGGACAACTGTATTGCTCATGGCCCATTGAAATGTTAGAATTTGGGGAATACTGGTAATGACCCTTTGCTCCTCCTCAGTCCTTGCTTTCTCAGGCCTCATCTCTGCCTGTCTCAGAGCCAGCAGCAGTCCCTAGAGCAGCTCAGAGCAGGACAGGCTGGAGCAGACTGATGTGGCTTTGGCTCAGCCTTAGTTCCTGTCCATGTGACTGACCAGTGGCGGCCACCAAAATAGTGTAGGGCTGGCAAAAGACACCCTAATCCACCCTTGAGGAGACAATGTGGAGTGAAGGCCAGAGCATGAGCTGTCAGTTGGCTCACACGCTCCGTGCTGTCAGAGGCAAAGAGAAGGGCTGGCCAGTCTTTTACTCCTACCTGGAGAAGGCATGGCAGGATACTAGAAAGAACAGGGCAATGAGAGAGGCTACCTTTTGGTCTGGGTGCTTCCTGTGTCCCTGATCTGAGAGTCCTTGCTCATGTCAAGCCAAACAGGTGCAATAACATTGTAACATAATGAATGACTCATATATTTATTTGTGATGATGTCAGTGTAATCAAACCTACTATGCTTGACAGTTGGATAAAAGCATAATATATAAAATCATATATAATACATAATACTCAGTGATAACAATTGATGACTATATTAATTATAGTATGCTGTGTTATGTCAGTAGCAGCCACATGTATCTTGTGTTTACAGTATTCTTGATTATATCAAATGGCTATTTAAGTGACTGGCCTATACCATATTGCCTTAAATAAGTAACCTCTGATAGTCACACAGTGATAAAAATACTTAATGATTCATTTCTCAAATCATTTCTCTTTATCAGTAACGGAAGCATGACTATTGATACTGGGTTCTGTCCTAAACAGATTCACTCCTGAAATTCCATTCTTGTGGCAATACCATACAACCGCACAGCAATAAACACTGTGTCTGTTAGAAAATGAAAATAATATTTAGCATTATGTAGGCACTTAAAATTAAGTTGTAGACTTGAATATTGATATGGGAAGATGTTTTTCTTTTGGGCTGGTGGAGACTGAACCCAGAGTCTCACACACGTTAGATATGTGCTCTACCACTGAGTTACATCAGCATCCCTGTGACACGTCATTCACTGTATAAACTGTACAGGTCTCAGAATAGTATTTTTTATTCTTTTTAAAAACCTGTATGTAACATTCTTGTATGCATCAGCATAGACTGATTTTATTTCCTTAGTGTTTTAGTATGGAAACTTCTAAATAAGTACAAATATAATGGGAATAATATAATAAACATTAAAATATCCATTATGCAGATTCAACAATTATCAATTTCTGAAAAATCTTGTTTTATGTCTTGGTTCATAATAAGGAAGAAGGGTTGCTTTTAAAGGAAAAACAAATATTCTTTGTCCCTCCTGAAGTCAAATGATGGTACATCACTGGGAAATCATTAAGATTATAAATACGTGTGCCTGCAAGAAGGCACCTGTTCTTCAACCGGCTCCATGACAATCTATTGAAGACCCAGATCCATCTGGGGAGCAGTTATAGTAAAGCACTGTAGTAAATATCTTCCTAAAGGAGTTGGGTATTTTCTGCTTACAGCTAAGCAGCCACTTGTGAATCAAAGACAGCTACACACTTCTAAGTTTAAGGTTTCTAAAGTGCAGGAGTACTAGACCAACTCACGCTAACAGAGTAAGAAGGAACTGTGGTCTACAGTTTGTTCCTAAGAGGAAATAAATTTCTGCTTGTTTCATTCCAGTGTTCTGTGGTTCTTTGAGGGCCCAAAATATAACCTCAGTGATTACCAAGCTGTATTTAAAGCATCAGGGAGGTAAGGAAAGGGGCTAGAGGAGGGAGCAGTCCAATTGGAGAGGGAGTTAGGGGATGGATTGGTATCAGGGCCCAAGTGGCTATGGTTTTTTCCCCTCTGAAGTGTGCTGTGGGGAGCTACTCAGACTGCTTCAAAGCTCAGGGGCACCTAAGAACACCTTAGGATATGATTCCACTGTCTAGTGCAGGTGCACAGTGCAATATAATTATGTAACCATGACGTAGCACAGGTAAACACACATGTGCTGGTTACAGTACTATTAAGAATGTAAACATGAGGTAACAACCTGTATAAGAAAGAATTGTACAATAAAGATACAGGCATCTTTTGCTCTGGCACTCTGCTCTGCTCTATGCTGCCTGCTCTTGCTGATGTCTTGCACACGTGCATTCTTTAAGCTTGGGAATTCACCTGCAGAAATCCCGTGTGGGCCCCCTGAGAAGACTGACAAGCATTCAGTAAGTGGGGTGGCCAGGGTAGTGATGAACCCTATCCATAGAACACAAAGCACATCATCAGTACAATTTATCAATACCAATGTCTGTTGTCAGTGGAAACTGCATGGAACCAAAGACCTAAGTCACATATGCAGATACATAACTGATACTTTAAGCTCTCCTCCACCCATCCTGCCCTTCTTTCAACCCAAAACTGGAAGTGTGGTACTGAGGAGGGGGAGGAATGTCTCAGAGCTAGAACGCATTCCAACTTCTCTACTCCAAGTAGCCTGCATTGGAGTTTATACTGAAAGAAAGGTGATTGTATTTATGTCAGCTTTGCAATTCAAATTTTAAATTGGATAGATTAAATTCCAATAATTAAACTTATTAGAAAATTATGTGGATGTCAAATTTTTTTAAGGAGTACGAGATTTGACAATTACTGTTGGAAATCTTAATGGGAATAGAAAAATACGACCATTTTCTCTTTTTTTTAACCTTTATAAGAATTTTAATAACGAAGAACAATAATATATAGTAAATATTACCTATGACATTTAATTTTTCATTAAAATTTAGCGTCTTCTTAACTTTGAAATAGTAACTGAGGAACCAGAAGTGGCTATCTGAGACCTGGCCATGTTGGGATTTAGGCAGCTGCACAAGAAGGCAGTTTGCCCACCCTCTTGGTAAGTACCCCTGGCGTGGGCTGGGAGGAGAACCAGTCAGCTGTTCCTGTGAGCCTACTGGCACATGGGCAGAGTTCTGAGCATCTCTTGGGAGGATGACCATATGCAATATAGCAAATAACGGGGATTTCCTTCTATGTTCTGTTTGAAGGCAAAGGTTATTTTCACTGTTATGTTTTGTAATGATTATTATGCTGTATTCAATATTCTCCTTCAACTGGTTTTACAATGGTCTGTTATTGGTTTGATTTCTCTATACCTAATTGACTGGACAATGATTGTGAAGATTATGAGATATACTATAGAACCTATTACTACTGTCCCAGTATCCTGCTGTGAAGTTCTGTACCAATGTTACTACATTGTCTCAATTGGCTTTGTTTTATATTATTCTGTTGTATTTTTACTACATTCTAAATTAAAAAAAGACATAGTAACTGAATTTCAGTTAAATCTTAAGAAATGTTATTATAAACATAACAACTCAGTGCCATTCCCAAGATTTCTCTCCTCTAGAAGAAAAATTACTGGGCCTTGCTGATCAAAACTCAAAAACATGTATACCATAGCACACAGATTTGAGGCACATTTATCACCCACAAAATTACATGAGAAATTCCAGTTAAAGTTGACAACTTAAACTAGTTTCAAAGTGTTCTACGAAAAAAGAAACAAAAATTTTGTTTGTTTTTAGGCAATTAAAATAAACAGTCCATTTTGCGTACTTGACATTACAAAGAATGAAAACCAAATATATGATTATCATTCCATAACTGTTCTATTTTGCTCTTTCATTCTGAGAATGCTGTCTTTTTTAAAGAATCACAGCTAACTGGTCAAATTTATTCTGAAATATGTGTCCATACTTGGCCGGCAGCTTCTCAGTCTACCATGCCAGCTAGCTAGTCTAAACTGTCTCCTGTTAAATATGAACATTTTCCCAGTACTACTTTTAAGTCACGTCTCATTTGTCTTATTCCTTAAGAGTTGCATAGGCTCATTTTAAATATTTTCACCACCTGGAATAAACTACAGAATTCACCAAGAGTAGAAGTACTTTGGTTAATAATCCAAATAGTATGGTCAGAGAAAAAGTAATGTTAAAATATGAATACAGTCCTCACCACTACAAAATGTAACAATTTTTTCTTTAGAAAAAAGCAAGTCCAGAAAGAGGACTCATTCAATAAAGATTGTGATTCTAAACCACAGCAAAAAGAATTTTAGTAACTTACTGATTTTATTTTTCACTCTATAATTTAAAGACATTTAATAAAAATTGTTATCTGATGCAATAACATTTGCAGTATGTAATTTGCAGTATGTAATATTATAGCAATACTGAGGTTAACTGTTAAAGATTTCCAAACTATTTTCATATTAAGTACTTACATCATAACCATCTATACAGAACACTGGTCCAATAACATAACAATAAAGATCAACATCTGGAAATTTATTTCACTCAGTATTCAGAGATAGATGGCTTAACCATGCTTTCCATCATTTTCTGCAGTTAAGTCTTTGTTCATGAGGAAATCTGCTGGCAATTGAATTCTGGTGTTTTCCCAGAAGAATGTTGAAGGCCAACGCTAGACAACATACTACAACATAAGGACTCTCTTTCACTACCAAAATATTCCCAATACTCTAGTTGTGGTATTGTCTAGGAGGCTAGAGGTCAGGGATCGAACGTAAACACAGATGCTTGTAAGCAGCAAAAGTATAGTCTACCGACTCTGGTAATTGAGAATGGCAGACAGGGTGAAACCAGGGCTGATGGAGGGCGGGAGCAGTGTGCACACCCCGCTGTCCTTCTCTCCCTATTCTGTAATACTCTTGTTGAGGTATCCTACACAACAGCCAAAAAGATGAAGCACAGTGCTACAACAAATCTGCGGAGTCACAAGGTACTAACTTAAAGTCACAATTTTATAGGATTTTATTTTATTGTAAAATTTCATCTAGTTTCTCAGTTTTGACAAACTATGGATTTTTTCAACTGCATTTCTGATATAACAAAATAAACTGATGTTCTCTAAATTAACAATAGATAATTTGAACCCTCACACCTTTTCCAGGTATACGAACTCCTATTATCTCCCTTAACCATTCTGTTCCTGGAAAGTTCTTCTGAGAGAATAATATTTTTAGAAATTCATCTAAGAAACATTATATCTCTATCTTTCTTACTGAGTTCTACCTTGGAGTCAAGCTAGACTAGTAAAAGTGTACACATAAAAATAAATCTCCTTTAAAAATTCTGTCATCAACTTCAAATTCAGTTATGCTTGCAGGTGATTTTGAATTTATTATAACAAATAATTACATGAACTCCCCCTTTTTTTTTTTTAGTAAAAACAATTACCAATAGTACTCAATGCATTTCTAAGTGTTATTCTCATATAAGAAATTTCTTCATCAACTTAGTGGCAGAAAAAATATTTACTTAATGTCTTTCTTTTTACTAATGATAGTTGTTCGGTAACTTATGCCAGAAAGTTCAAAACCAAGTTTACATCTTTATCAGGGGAACTGTCTTAAACAAAATGTAGAACATATTTGGATTTTTACTTTTTCTTGAATGTGATCATTACTTTATTAACTTATTGTATACTTTGGAAAAAGGTCTGTTTGTTAAGAGAAGAGTATGGATAAATAAATTTAGATCATGTCACAGTTAATCCTCCAACATGAAGTTGATTCATCTTAGGAGTGTTTCTAAGATTAATTGCAGAAAACCTAGAGTTAAATTGGGTCCAAAAGCATTAAATTCATTCAGTTTAATAATATTAATTCATCCACATTGTATTTCCCCATACATTCAAAAGCAAAAGAATTATTTCAGCATTATTATTGTTAGTTAATTCTAAAAACCTTATCTCTAGTTTTTATTCTGTGCATCATATTTTGTTTAGCCTAGATTTAATGACTGGAAAAGTCATCTCTGTTATCTTCAAGACAGTCATGGCAATTATAGGACATTTTATAGAAGAACAGAGAAAACAAATCACATTTTAATAGGAATGCAAAGCAAATAAAGGGGAAGCAATAGCTGTAGCAACAGCTTGTTCTCCAGAATCAGGTTTATTTTTAATTAAAAGCTTCTGTGGGTTTGAGGACTGACCTCAGGGCCTTACCGCTTGTTAGTCAAGCACTCTACCACCAAGCTTCTCCCCAACTCATAACAGATAGAAGTGTTTCATATCTTCCTCCTGGGGTAGAAATAAAGCTTAATTAGTTATATCACTGCTCTGTTTTCTTTAAACAAATTAAGATGCATGAGTACCTTTAAAACTGTACCTAATGGGAGGAGACAGAGCCACAAATGATGACATCTGTATCTACTCAGACATCTGGTTCATTTAATAGTTTAACAGTATTGTTCCACCTGTAATGTACATTTTCATAAACTAACCAGTAAAAGCATTGCTTTAGTATTAGCAGGATGTTACCCCGGTAATAACTTTGAGGGATTCCATGACTCAGTCATGTTATTACAGTCATCCATGTATTATGAAGTGTAAAAGAACTTGGAATGAGCTAACAGGTGTTTACACAGTAATAAAAATCATCTGGGACTAGCCACACTGCCACAGTGCTTCTGGATCTTGCGGTCATCAAGCGTTCATTGCTGTAAAATTGTTAAATATTGGAAGGACCACACAATAATTTGTTGGATGTTAAAAATGCCTGTGGTAGAGTTGCTATTTCACATGTTATGTGATGTAATATATCTACCGTGAGTTTCCACAAGACTCAAAATCACAATGTATTCAACACATTACTTCTGCAGTTACACAGAATGGTGCAAACAATTGATTCTTGCCTGAAAAGGAGAGTAATTCTGGGAACATATTCTTCATGTTGTGGTTCAGAACAAAAGGATTACAAAAATAACTTCAGAAAAATGGCAGCAAAAATATGAGTATTTGATAAAACAATTCTCTAAGATCTGTTATTTTCCTCTGAGAGATCAATTAATTTTGAAATGATTGGCTTTGCTTTTTTATCCTACAACTCCAAGAATAATTTTAATGAAAGACCTAGATACATGAAATATTCCTCTAGTAGATAATTTATGGTTCATTTCTCCTGTCATTTTTTACATTTCTACTAAAATGTAAGCTATAGCATAAAATTTGTTGACGTACACTGTAATGACTTTTCAGAAGTCTGAATAACAATTTATTATCACATTTTAACATGTTTCAAGTGATATCCATTTCTTCTCTATTTAAATATTCTTAATTTCTGATTTTTTTATTTTTAGAAGAAATAGCCTATCCTGATAGGATTCTTAAAAATTTTCAGGAAAGCAGTCCCATTTTCTGCATCCATATTACTAGCTGTCCCATAAATCTATGTATACAAGACTTTCACGATATATAAACAATTTACTTACTTCAGAATCTTTGTTTCATGAACGAAAAGCCAAAGAGCCATGAGATTTTGTTAAAATGTGTCTGGCAAGTCTCGTTCCAAAAGTTACCTTGAAGAGGAACCTGTTTTCCTTTAACAGCAAATAATAATTAGCATTTTAATAAAATATAAATATCAATAACATAGTATTATTAAGTTGCCTTAACTTTGCATTTGCAAACATTTTAGTTTTAAAGATCATATAAAAGCAACTTAATTTCAAAATCTGAAAGTTTTACTATGTTAATATTATCTATTTTTGGCTTAAGTGTTACTTCACAGGTGAGTAGACAGAAATCTTACATTGTGTACTGAATGAATTTAAACAAACTAGCATGCTATCCTTCAGTGTTCAGTGATGCGTTAACTCTAATATAAACCTTGTATATGCTAGCCCTAAGTATAGTCTGGTATTTAGTCACTGCTAAGAGTAATCCCAATTATTGGCAACCTAATCCCACATTTCATCATGAGTCTCAATTTCTGTACCTATTCAAGTGACCCAGAGACTAAATGGATAGGTAGTGGAATTAAATAGGATTTATTTGTTTTATTTATAGTGAGCTTTCTTTGGGACTGATCATACACATACTCTTCCCTCTCTCCTTTCTACATATATGTTTTACAATCTGTTTATACTAGTCACAGAATTCCTGTCTAGTAAGAATTCACTGCTTCTAAAATGATATGAAATTTTAGTATAATAGGTAAATGTTACCGCATGAAAACAAACATTAGAAACACTCTATGGGGATTAGAGAAGGAAATTTAAAGATTATACTTGACATAACACACAGATATTTGCATGTGAAAATGTTTTTAAAACTATATAAATTATATTTACTTTCTGTAAATAAAACTGAGCTGGCTAATAAATTTTATATGTTAGTATTTGTAAATGACTTTTCTGTTGGAATGATGCCAGTCAGTTTTAAGATACTAATACTTTTCTACTTTCTATTGTATTTTTAGCTTACTTTTAATTAATACCAAAGGAAAACTTTTGATTAACCCATGACACAGTAGAAACCATGTCAGATTAGTTTTAAAAATATTGGTGACAGTCTTTGTGTGATGGTTCACTATATAATTTTTGACTAAGCCATTTAACTTAATTAAATCTCAATTTCACCCTTGGAAACATGAGGAAGCTCAGCAGAATGCCTGAAAATTCTGTCCAGATTTAAACATCTGACCCCTCTAAAATTTCTGCCCTGTGATAATTTTTTATAAAATAACTCTCAAATTCCTTCTCCTTTAAGTGTTTATAAGTTAGTTTTGCTCTTGGCCCCTATAAAATTTGTCTTTGTTCTACTAGGCACACAGACTCTCTACTGTCCTTGCCAAGACTCGTCAGGCTGGTTCTGCTTGGCTCATGGGTGACTTCTTTCTTCACCGGAGTCTAGCCCACAGAGTGGCTGATGGAGTTGAGGGAACCACTTCACTGCACGCTTCCTTCTCCACTGGGCTCTTCCTCGCTGGTCAGCAATGCATCCGTAAGTTCCCTTTTTCTTCCTGCCTGAGAGATCTGGTTTACAGGGGCATAAACTACACCACGGGATGTATAGACCTCCAATTCGTGTATTTCCCTGTTTAACGCAGAAAAATAGTTTTGAGATTTTACATATTATGTGAAGAAATAGACTGCAGTTCTTTCTGTGCTACTATCCCCCGCTGTTCTGTCCCATTCACCCCAATGTTTTCCTAGAGGGATTTTGCAGGGTGTAAAGGTGCAGTATGCAGTATGGGGCAGCTGCCTTTTAGTTTGTTTCAAGAAGTAGAATGTGTTTTTAACTTGGACTTTATTTAATAAAATATTATTTCAGAAGCTCTTCATGAGAAAAATATAAATTTGAAAACATGCAATTCAAAATTGTAGTTAAGAAAGTAGTTTATGTACTGTAAGAAAGTAGTTTAAAATATAAAAATTACAAATATTTTGAAAAAAAACTAATTCAAGAGAACTGTACAACTAAATTATCATAAATTTAAAAAATAAACCCTGTGAAATACTTAATCACAAGATGACGTCTGTGTTGTTCTCTACTGAAATTAGAAATATTAGGGTTTTAGTGTATTAATTTGTATTAAGAATAATTTTATCTTTAGATTGGAATTTACCTACTTTGACGTGTTGGCACATTATTTTTTGTGAATTTATAACTTGAGAGAAAAGTGTTTGAAAAATATAAAACTCCCAGTGTAGTCTGTATTCATAATCTAGTAGGGAAAATAGGTTCTGCCTTTGTCAGACATCTGACATGCTTATTAAGAGGAGTTGAATAGTATTGCATGATATTACAAATTTTGTCAGATTTATCAAGGCTCCCTGCCCTTTGTAAGTTTCTCTATAATTTTTAATAGTTTTGTATCCTACTTTCTTTCCCCTCATTTTCCTTAAGTCTATTACTGTAGAAGATAGTTCTTCAACAAAGCTTTCCCCAAACTCACCATAGTACATAAACAGATTGCAGGCCTTGTCAGTGTTAGAGTTGAGGGACTCTAAATGTGACTTAATGTCTGTACATCTGTAAATAGATGAAGGTAAAATGAATATTCAAATGAAACAAAATGTACAATTTTAATTTTTACTTAACTTTCTCTCAAAGTTAAGTGCCCCACATTAGAGTCAGTGAGTTCTTATTAAAAGTAGACACCCAGGTTACCTCCCAGAAATTTTGATGAGTCTCTGGATGAGACAAGGTTATCTTATTTAAAATATCTATACAAGGTAATTCATGTTCACTCTGAAGTTTGATAAGAGCTGCAAGGGTGTGGATATAAAAAAACAAAGGAACTTGTAAGGTTAAGAGATAGTAAAGCATGAATGAAATCACTCCATTTTTAAAAAGAAGTCACGCTTTTTTTTATTTAAGTTGGGATAATTATATGTTAATGGGAGGAGCTCTCTCCTTAGTCACCTTTCCCTCCAGGGAAAAGTATCATTTGTGCAACATAGTGGTAATTAAGGCAGTGAGGGTATTCTGAAGGCATAGAAACGGAAGGGAGGACACGTATTACCTTGGTGGTTTGTGTCAACAGGGAGGCTGGTCCTATTTATTCTTCAAAAATGTTTTTGTTTACAGAAAAAAATCTCAGTGTAAAATGATATAGCAGTGTTTTCCCCTGAAGTGAGTGTGTAGTGATACTTGGACACTTCCCTGGGGAATAGGCCAAGAGTGGCCAAGATTTGGCACATATTCATTTCTCTTTCTATTGTGATCAGCCTTTCGCCATATAACAACTTCCAGACAGTTTTTGCTGTGTAGTAAGTCCTGTGTGGACTCATTTCATGTAGAGTTCTATAAAGTGCCATTGTATTGAATTTTGATGATGCTTTCAGAGATGTTTATCATTATCATTCCTTTTAAAAGATAAAGTCACTGTGGCTCAGATTATCAGAGTTTACTAAATGTTGGTATCACAATCTGAATCTGGTTTGTGTGGCTTTAAAATCTAGGCTGTTTGCCCTTTTCCTCACTGTCTACTCTGGGTAGAAGCTCAAAGTGGGGATTTTGAAAGGTCTATACTATAAAAAATAATTAGAAAACATAAACATACATATTCACATTGAGAAATAAAACACTAGAGAGATCCATACAAAACTGTGCACATAGGCACTAGTGGGAAAAAGTGCAGGCATACAATTTTATTTGTGAACTTTCAAAACATTTTAAAGACTGCATGAAATGCCACACTTAATTTTCTTAAAAGTATCTTTGTATTTAAATAAGTTGAGCATGTGATCTAACATCTGCACTGTGTCAAAAGTAATCCGTGACTGACAGTATAGCATTTCAATTACATCATCTGTGTTCTCTAAAGAAAGATTGCACCATTTGCCATATTGCAGAAGTTGAGGTTATCCTAGTGTAACATTTCTTGGAGCTAATTCATTGGTCAGCTGTAGCTGTAACTAATAGACTTTTGTTATTCTACCATTGTTGTCCGTTTGATCTCAAAATATGTCATTACTTCAAGATAAAAAGAATAGCTACACTCAGGAGAAATAGCACTTTTTAGGCATCCAGGTCAGCACTGAGACTCGTAAGCATGTCTGATGGCTTTACATGCTTGGGAACGGGATGAGCTGAGCAACTGCGGAGCAGGTCTCCTGAACAGGCATGAAAATGGGGTCCTGCCTTGCTTCATGGCTTTGTCAAACTGAAGGTTTCATGGAACTTCACTAAGAAGTTTGCCAAGAACACTGCCTTGAGTTTCCTCTGTTTCAAAGATGGATGAGACTGTAAAGAATTCATGTACAGATTGAAGCATAAGTCAGAAGACCTGAGATAAGTGGATTAGAGTATGGGAAGGATTCAGTGACTGAGAAGCAAAACGAGCTGCAGAGAGACACCATGTGTGTCTCTCCGGACCAGCCTTCCTCCAGTGGTATGCCATATGTGGCTTACACCTGGGGGTGCCTTCTGAAATGTTAAGAATAATAATTTTAAAATGACAAACCTTAGTCTTAGGGGAACCCAAAATATCATACAGGCATCATTAAATTCTAATTGCAACCTTTTATCTGAAGATGGCTGTTAATGTCTTTTTTGAAATTATAAAAGCAAACTCATGGGTATTTAGCACTTTGTTTACAGTTGACTGTGAGTGCAGCCCAAAATAGTATTTGCTGTCATTTGTTTCAAACATGCCATTTGCCAGCTATCATCCTAAAACACTGTGTATGTTTAATCTTTATCACAGCCTCTGTTTACATTGTTATACCCATTCTACAGAAGAAGAAACAGACATAGATGGGTCCTATGTTAACTGAGGTCTTTCTGACTCCAGAGACTGTGTTCTTAATCACATTGCTGTTTCTTCCTCAGTGTCTGTGCTATGCTTTATGTTAATGTATTAAAATATGTAAAATTTACACTTTCAAGGAATAATGTTATTAATCAGTAAATAACATTTAAAATTAATCTTTGAGAATGGTAAACAGGAATGCTCTCTGCATTCTACAAACTAAGGGAGTAAAGTTCTCCAAGATTAGGTAATTTGCATGTGACCATAGGAATGGGTGAGTCAGTCAATATTAGAGATAGAATCTGTGTTCTCAGAACACCTGTATTCTGAGTTCACTGTAGTCAAATAGAAGATTAAGCTAATACAGATGATGGTGTACCCTGAGAATTATTGTTACCATTATTACTAATACCACTCTACTTGTATAAAATATATGGTCCTTTTTAATTGACAGAAAGTACACTTATATACAGTATGTTGGTTTAAATATATATATATATATATATATATGACCAAATTGAGCTAATTATTATGCATATTACCTCACATAATTGTTTTTTAGTGCTGAGAAAAAGCTATTCTCATTACTTAAAATCTACTCTCGTTACTTTTCAAGAATATGCTATGTTGTTAACCATGTTGCACAGTAGACCTCTTGGACATACTCTTCGTGGCCAGCATGAGTTTCTTTCTTTTGTAGTTGTCAGGAACTCTGTGACAAGATAATTTGAATGATACCATGACTGTCTTTACATGAAGGAAACCCAAGTTTATGGAGGCCAAGTTTTGTCTTTCTAAGTCAGTGATGGGTGGAGCTGAGGCCCAAATGCTTGACAGTATGGCTCTCTGTTGTCTGATTCTCCTTGGCTCTGTAATGATTCTTGAAATTCTAAGTGCTATTTTGGTTAAACAGAGCTAGCTTTCCTTGGCCTTCAAACAATTAGCTTAGTATCAGTGTCTCAACTTTTCTAATGAAAAGAATACCAAAGATAATGAATGAATACATCTGAGATCTTTCAAACCATTCTTTCAGATTATATAGTTCATCGAAGACATTATTTAGGACTGAGGCACATGTTATTAGACTCAACAACAAAGCTAGGTTTGGGCTTCAGAGAATTCTTAACCCTTGAACTGAACTGTGTACAGCATGGTTAACAATATGTAGCTGCTTGACTCAGAGACTCTTAATGTGCAAACGGTTCAGGCTTTTTATAGCTGTTTTTCCAGCTGAATTCCTCTCTGCATAGAAGGGCAAAAAGGACTCCTCTAGTGTGGAGCAGAATTGATAAGGGCTGAGGGAGACTCTTTTGCTCTGTCTTCTTATTCTTCAGACACATGTGACACATTTTGAGGGATGTTTTTGAACTCACACACTAAAAAAATTAATTAACTCATTTTAAAAATTAGTTATCATCTTGAAGGAGGAAATAGTAAAAGCAGTGTCTGTTGCGTATTTGATATGTGTGTCTGGAAGGCACCAGTAACTGTGTATTTAATTCTAACCTTGATGAGTTAGGTTCTCTTACTACCCCATTTGTAAGTGGGGACATGTAGATTTAGGGAGAATGAGCCACTTTCTTAGAGAAGACTCATTAACAAGAAGCACAATCAGGACTGAACCAAAGCTGTTTGTTCCAGAGCCCAGACTTCTTAATTTATGAAGCAAGAAAATGAAAGTCATTTACAGGTTTGGCCTGTGGCTTGCCTCTTTCCTCTCATTTTTAAAAATGTTATTAAAGAACATAGTATTAAAAGGAAATAATTATATACATTAAAAACATCATATATTTATGTGTGACCCCAAACAGTTTCTCCTCTCTCAAAAACCAAAGGCAAACAAAACATAGGCCAGAGGTTGGACACACTTTTAGGAGAGCTTTTTCTAAGAAAATTCATGATTGGAAACTTGGTCTTCTGCTATATTACCATTACATGTATTATTTATATTTTAGTATCATCTTGATTGCAGAGTGATTAAAAACCCCAAATAACAGATTACATGAGATAGAATTTCATTGTTTTTTAATGTAGAACAAGTCTGGAGATGGGCAATTTGGGGCTAACAGGAAGGCTCACAAAGTAAACAGGTGCCCAGGCTTCTGTTAACACACTGTCCTACTGAAATGAACGTATGTCTTCCCAGTCATGACCTAATAAGGGTATCTCAGCTCTAATTAATGCATGTGTAGCCTAGCTATGAAAGGTATGTACAAATTTTAACCACAAGCAGAAAGATTCCACCAGTCAGAACTTAGTCATATGGTGATTCCTGTGGACAAGGGACACTATTCTGGGTTCCAACTAGCCAGTTTCCTATTGGGATTGGGTTAGTAAGGAAGAAGAACAAATGCAAGTGTAGGTACCTGCGTGTCTCTACAGTAGATAGATCTGCAGAGATAGATCTCATCATCAGGAAACTGATGGATATATGCTTCTAAAGTTTAGATAAATATAGATTCAGTGGCTGTTAATTTATTGATACAAATTAAAGTAATGGACATTGGTAACATAAGTACATATTTATTTTGAATAAAATACTTCCTCACAGTCTTATGGTATTAATATGCATGGAAATTCTAATTTATTCTAATATGAATCTTAGAATGTTTCATGTTATTAAAACACTAATGTATTAAAGTGTAATTAAATTCAGTATAATAATTAAGTTCATGAAATAATGAATTTTCAATTTCATTAGTAGAAATTGGGTTATTCAGCAGTTTTACATCTTCTTGACCCAGCTTTGGTGTTTCATATATTTCTAGGAATCTGTCCATTTCTTCTATGTTATCGAACCTATGAGAGTAGAGGTTTTTGAAAGAGGTGTTGATGATCTGCATTTCCACAGTCTGTAGTGATTTCACTTTTTTCAATCCATATTGCATACATTTGAGCTTTTCCTTTCCTTTTAAAAATAAGATTGGCTAGAAGCTTATTTTATTTATTCTTTCAAAGAACCAACTGTTTGATTCATTGATTCTTTGAATTGTTTTCTTAGTCTCTATTGCGTTAATTTCTGCTCTGAATTTTATAATTTCTTCCCTTCCTTTAGCTTTGGGTTTGACTTGCTCTTCTTTTTTTTTTAGAAGTTTAATATGTAGCATCAGGTTTTTTATTTGTGTTCATTCACTTTTCCTGATGTGGGAACTCAGTACAATAAACTTTCTTCTGAGGACCACTTTCATTGCATCCCACAGATTCTGGTATGTTGCATTTGTATTTTTGATCTCTTGTAGGTATTGTTTAATTCCTTCTTTAATTTCCCCTGGGACCCACTAAATGCTCAAGAGTGTATTATTCAATTTCCATGTGTTTGTGGGGTTTTTGCAGTTTCTTTTGTCATTAATTTCTAGTTTTATGGTGTTATGATCTGATAACATGCATGAGATCATTTCAACTCTTTTGCATTTACCTAAATATGTTCTGAGGACTAGTATATGATCCATTTTAGAGAATGTCCCATGTATTGCTGAGAAGAATGTATATTCTGATGTTGCTGGATGGAACACTCTGTATATGTCTATCAAGTCCATTTGCTCACAGGTGTGATTCAGTTCTGTTATTTTTTCCTGATTTTCTGTCTGGTTGATCTGTCCTTTGGTGTCAATGGTGTGTTAAGGTCTCCTAACTGTGTTATTGCGTATTTGATTTTTCATTTCTGTTAATACTTGTTTTGTATAGCTGGGCGTTCTGGAATTTGGTGCATGTCACCAAGTAGTCCCAGGAAGTGGAGGTCAGGAACGAAGGGTGCCAAAATGCCCTGGACAAGGTCGTGAAGTGAGCTATCTCATCACAAGACATGCATGCACTTCTCAGTCACTGTTTCCTGCTGAGGCCTCTTTTCCTCTTGTGTAATTCAAAAGTCATGATGTTTGTTTTTAAAAACCCACCATAAATCCAAACTAAAATATAAATTAAAATGCAAATTGCTATTTTATTTCTCATTCCATTTGATGTCTTCTGTGTATTTTGGCCTGCAGACCTATATAGTTTTATAAAAACTAAGACATGGAATATACATTATTCTGCAATGTTTTTCATATATCTAAAGGTACTAGAGTCACTTTTTGCATTTCAATACATGTAGTTTTACCTTCCTCCGTACAACACCTAGTCATTATTTTCCTGCCTTAAATTGTGGTAGAACAAATACAACTTGTCTGATATTTCACAATCCTATATATCAGTCATGTGCATTTGATAATTTCATCATGTTTCCTATAAGCATAAATTCATCTTCCCCACTTAGCATGTGCTAATATTAGTTGAGAAATCCTTGCTTCCAAAGCCTTGCTTACTTTTGTTGTATGCATCTCGTTTCTTTTGCAACAGATGAACAACAAGTACTCAGAAATGAAGAGACAGAAATCAGTTTGGGGAGCTTCTGCAGCACTATTTTGCACACAAGAATAACCGCTCTGAGGAGAAGTATTTTTATATTGGAGTGGGAACCATTCTAGGAACAGGTGTTTTGGAATCCCACTCAGGGGAGAACTGGAGATGGAAGAGGTTGGGGAAGAAAAGATAAAGTTTCCCTGGCTACCGTCCCATGGAAAGATCAGAGAAACAAGGGGGGCAGATCCCGGAGTATGCCTGGAGCTCACAATACACCCCGGTGTCTTCAGTGGGGAAGAGGAGATGAACACAGTTAGCAAGGTACAGCCAAGATGTAATGGTAGTGTGGCCAAGTCCAGTGTGGAAATGCCATCATTTCCTGTTCCTACATCACCAAAAAATGGGTCCTCTTGATTTATGTAAGCAAAATTTATTTATTATGAAGTTTTTCAATTTACAAGAAGTTACATGAGCTCTTTTGGGGTCCCAGAATCCTTTAGTAGATAGAATGGAGATCCTGTGCCCCACTGATGGAAAAAGTTAGCTCAGAATTTAAATGCATCATTACAGAACCTAGGGCTGTACTTTCATTTTTCTTTATTCTGATTCAGAAGTCAATGTTTCACCTTGAGAACCATGTTTACTTCAAGTCTTTAAGAACCAGATAAGCAGCATTCTAGAGAAAATAGATATGCATCATCTGAGCTATCAGCAAAGGAAATAAATCTAGAAATTAAGCTACTTATTTTTTATTAGTGCCTCTTAGTTTACAGAAAATTTGATTTCATTTCAGTATGTGAATATATTCAGACACATACTGCGGTTGTGGTTCCCTTCACCTCCCTTTTCATCTCCTCTCCCTCCTTCTGATTCCTTTCCTCTTCTCACTTTCTTTCTCTTTTGTGTCTTTATTTCAAGAAATTTACGATAACAGTATCATAGACAAACTGCTTAGCTGGCTCTCACTTAGTATTTTGTTTTCTATTGCTTTTGAATTTACTTAAAATTCAAAGAAACAGCCACTTACCAATCGAATGAAATCCAGCCTGATCAACACATTTCAGTAGCATGTGTTTTTAGAGGCAGAATATATGGAAAATATTGAAGGCATCTCATGTAATATCACTCATGCTTCAAGGTAAATATCAGCTCAAAAACTCAGGTCTTTAAAAAGAGAACTCTGGTAATCTTTTGTGCATCCTCCAAGTTTGGTTTGGAAATAAATCATAAAATTAGGAGGAGCACAGTAATAGAGATTCTATCTAGAAGCTGGGATGGTTCAAGTTGTAATGAATTTTGTAGCCAGAGTGCTACAAATTCCAGAGGACTAGAAACAGGCTCTAAGCAGACACCCAGCTCTTCCATAGATTTTATATAGCTGACTCAATAAGAAGTAGCTAAATACAGCGTGCTTGTTACAGGTCAGGCACTGTGTCAGACACTTTTCACTCCGTGCCTTTAATCCTGGCAGTAATTCTGTGAGATAGGTCCTGTTACTGTCCTCTTTGTTTTATGGATGAGGAGAATGAGTCAAATTGCTTGCCTCAGGACAGGCAGCCTGAGCCAGGCCTGGCCTCAGCAGCTGGGAATCAGAACTTCCAGACCAAGTAGTGCACTGCTATCTGAACGCCCTTCATTCCCCAGAAGTACTGGTTTCACCTGTAGCACAGATATGCTGCTGACTGTGATATAATCTATCTACTGTATGTACTTTCTTCCTCAGGCTAGCTGTGGTGAGTGCCAGGAAAAGAGCTTGTGTGCAGCCCTGGGTTATTGGCCTTATCAGCTTTCTGTCCCTGATTGTGCTGGCGGTGTGCATTGGACTCACCATTCATTACGTGAGATACAGTAAGTATGAGCTGCCCTGGTGGCATGTGACTTACCGCACATATTTCCTCATGTCACTTCCTGTTTTGATCTGCCTCGAGCTTGTTCATTAATCCCTGCAATTCATTTATACTGCCAAGACAAAGAAAGCTTTGCCTTCTTTTTTGCCTCTTTTAATCCTACAAACTCACAAAGATTCTTCCTTCTGTCTTTGATATGCTTCCTGCTGGGAATACTATACTCATTTTCATATTAATAAGTGATAATTGAGTTTGAGGAAGACCCTAAATTAGCTAGGATCCAATAACTTGAATTGTTTGAGGTCACATGGCAATCAGTTTGATTGAAAGTACTTTAACTCTTTGAAATCTTGATATCCAAATAAACTAATGAACAATAAAGGATCCTGCAGCAGTAGGCTTTATTTAGCACTCCTGAGTTGGAAAAATGTTCATAGTGGTAGAGTGTTGAGTAAGTACCTATTTCTTTTATTGAAAATTTTTCATAGGGTATGTTGTAAGTGACTAAAGAGGACAAGATAAGCTGAGAGGCTTAATTATAAACAGGCTCATTTCATGGTTATCAAATATCTCACTTCAACATGAACTGTACTTCTATGTTATTAGAAATGTCTCCAGGGTACTCTGGGACTATTCTTCCACAATACAACAACCTTCTAAAGTTTCCTTGTATTCTGTTTTGGGTTTTAATTAGTTGACTCAACTATGACCTGTTAATTTGATATCTCCCTCTATGACTAGATTAAGCTTTGATGTTCAAGGTTGTGAAACCATAGAAGTTAAGCACTTGACTTTAGATTAATTGGAAATTTGCTGAACATGCTTTCTGTAAAAATAATGATTGGTAAACTGGTTATCTTCCTCCATTCCCTACACAAATCCTGATCTTAATTTTCAAAGCAAAGAGTATCACTTTTAAATAAAGAAATGTTTAAAACAGAAGTGTGTGTGTATGCGCACGCACAAGTGTCAATGCATACATAGAATTCACAGTGTAGGATTTGCCAACATACAGATTTTTAAATTTTAAATAACTTCATTTTAAAAACAAAGATCTGTCTGGATTATGCTTTTAATAAAAAGAATACTAAAATAACTATAATTCTATACACCTGTTAGGAACCCAGTGAATCCCCTTACGTTGTAAGCATCTTTATTTCTTCTTACAGATGCCTAAAACTATAGTTTATTCATTTTTATTTCCAAAATTTAGTAGATTTCTGAATCATATTAGGTACTTTATAGGTGAGTAGTGATTGACAATAACACACAAATGAATCACCTACCTTATTTTCTTTGGATTGTCTGACTTTACAAAAAATTCCTAGTGATGCTAAGGGCCTGATGACTTTTGTGAGGTAAATATTTCCTGATGTCTCCTTTGCTACTTTCCAAGCTGAGATTTACAAGATTCTAAGTCTGTTCATATGCACACAGAGAAAACCTGAAAATTTTTCCAGTTATCTGCTGCTGGATCCTATTTTTTGGATGACAAATTCAGAAATACAGAACTCAGCCTTTGCACTGCCTACACAATACACCTGAAAAAGCAATGATTATTTTAGTGTGTCTTATATGTGTGACTCTCCCTCTGTTTGGGGACATGAATTTATAAAATAGCAAGTATAACAATGGGCATTTAGGAGTTGCCATGGCAAATAAGCCAAACTAAATAGATCTGTTACAGAAATATCCAAATATGGAGGAAAGTGGTTGGATTTGTAAAAAAAACAAAACTATTTTGACCCCTACTTCACAAAGCCCTGCTTGAAATTCTGTGTGTAGTCTATTCAGATTTTTAGGGCTCCATTTCTGCTTCTCTGTGATTTGAATGTCAGTAGGTAAATCTGATTATGAGTAATGTCGTTGCTGTTACAGAATCACAAATCTGTTAGAAATTATGGACACATTCATGTTCACCCAAACTTCATTACTTTTGTGTTAATACTGCCAACATTTTTGGTAACTAGACATACCATATAATTCTGGAAGCTTGAAATATGTTTTTAATACTTACTGACCTATTTTAGGTAAGTAAAATATTGAATGTGGATAAGTTGTTTATACAGTTGAACTCTATGAAACTACTAACATTTAACCATATTTCATTTATATAATTGATAATTTAAAATAATTCAATATAGTAAATAACTCATAAAAACCAAGTTGAAGATTATTGAAGAGTCCTTTATCCTATTTAGTGTGTGTATAACTACTGGCTGCACTAGTCCCCTGGGATCATCTTAGAAATACAAGCTCTTTTTTTAAATTTTTAATTTTATTAGTGCATGTTTGCAGGTCATTTAGTTTACAATCATCTTTGTTCATGGGTGCAGGTACACACCCCAGCTTGTTTCATTTTAATCCCTTTTTGTTTTCTCCCCCTTCCTTCCTTCTCCAATTAGCCCAGTGTTTATTCTTATTGATATTCTTTTTTTTTTGTCTTTTTCTTTTTGTCGGTACCAGGGATCGAACTCATGGCTGCCTGCTTGCAAGGCAGGTGCTTATGCTGCTGAGCTAAATCCCCAGCCCCCTTGTTGATATTCTTAATCTCAGTTCTACAATGTTTACATTCTCCTCGGTCATTAGACTCCTTCGCGAGGCACATCCTCATTCTGCTTTTTCCCTTTTCTGCCTCTTCACCCTTCACCCTTCTTCCCTTGGCCCATTTTCCTATCACAAGAGATCCATCCCCTTGCCCCCTTCTGTCCATCCTTATTATTCTATTTGTTCTTTGCCTCACTCAAATGAGAGATACCTTATGGTATTTAACCTTGTGAGTCTGATTTACTTCATTCAACATTATGTTTTCTAGGTGCATCTATTTTTCTATAAATGTCTCAACTCTGTCATTCTATAAGCAGAGTACTATTTTGTTATATGTAGACACTACATTTTCTTTATCCTATCATCTGTTGATGGATAATCAGGCTGCTTCCAGGATTTAGGTATTACAAATTGTGCTGCTATAAACATTGGTATGCATGTATTACTATAGTAATAATAATATCTTAAACTCTTGAGGGAATGTAGAGGGAGATTTTGAGATCATTAGAATTTTTTTTATTTCAGTTCTTTCAGAAATTTCCATACTGATGTCCATAATGGTTGTACTAGTTTACGTTTCCACCAACAAACTCTTGGATCCAGCTTCAGACCTAATGTGCTACACTCTGGGTATTTCACAGGAGCCACAAGCGATCCTCTTGTGCACCACAGTCTAAGCAGCAGCACTGTAGAACTGTGAATGCAGCCACACAGAACTGTAGACAGACGTCAGAAAAGCAAATCTAATAGAACAGTAGTTTAGAAAGATAGCTACATTATTATTTCAGCAAGTTAAAAACCTTCTTTGAAATTATGCATTGCCAGGGGCATTACTTCATTTCCTGTTATCCTGGCCATTCATGGTAGGGCCATCCAGGATAAGGGGGTTAAGGGGTGGTAGAAGGGCGACACTTTCCCTAGTGTTTACAAAGATCACGGTCATGCAGGGCACCTTGGACTTCCAGTGTCTCCACTCTGACACTTTCTTCATCTATTGCCACCTGTCACTAGGCCTTTCCAGAGGTGGCCAGCAACTTCAGTCTCTGTCCCTCAAGCCTTCTGGAAGACCAAGTGAATCTTTTTATTTTTGTTTGGCAGTTTTTTGTATATAAGTTTTATATTTAAAAATCCCAACAGCTTCAGAGTGGCTTTGGTTTCATTCTACTTCAAGAAGCAGCGTGTAAAAAAAACAAAAGAGTCTGTGCTTTAGTAGATAGGCCTTGGCTTAATTTTGTGTTTTCTGGCTGTGTCACATTAGGGCTGGGAAAATCAGTTATGTTTCTTGGGTTGGAACACCTAAATGTGAATCATATTGCCTTCCCATCACATAATTGCAAATTAAACGAGATACACTAATATGCTCAAAACACTGGTGCTCCAGGTGAGTGTCCTTTTCCCCCTATGGTTTAAGTGAACAGTAAAAGAATGAGAAGGATTATAAGGAAAAGAGAGACTGAGATTGAATGATAGCCCATTTTCCCATAATAACTATGTGCAACTCTCTTGGGCATTATTGTATTCTTAATGTCTGTCACAGAGAGGGGCCAGTATTAATATTAATTGAGTGAATAAATAAATCTCTGATGGTTATGATCTTGATTCATGAAAAAGCTGTACTGGCCTAGATCATGGGATATTTACATGTTCGGTGGCTAAGTAGAGACAGTGGCTAAGGACTCTACAGGAATCTTCTGAGGGTGCTGAGAGCAAACCAGTGGAGTGACAAGGGAACAGGTGAACTAACAGTACTGCCAGAAGCCTATGACAGTTGGTGGTGCCAGCTTTCTAAATTTCTTTTATCAGAATTCCTAGCATTTTAATTTCTACTCTTACCTCTTCAGATAACACAGATTTTTCGCAAACTAAGTCCTTGTGACCAGAAGTGACCTGCCATTTGTTGAATTCAAGAGAAATCTGCTGTCAAAACATTAACAAAAAAGCATTCATCCTTAGGAAGTTCTATCTCATCCTTATTTATGTGCTCAGATAGCAACACTTGCCACCCCAGTAGTTTATTCAGGAATGAAAAGCACATGAGCAATCAGCCCACACCCACAGGGCCGTATTTGTACAATAGCCTAGGAACACCAGGTATTTCTTACAGCTTTTGCATACTAAATCACATGATGATGAATGTTGCTGCCTTTGCTTCTAAGATAAGCCTGGAGAAAGATGACAAAGACGATGTCCTGGGGGAGGAGCATTCTTTTCTGTCTTAGTCTTTTCAGCTGCTATCAAATGGAATCATAATGGTAGTCCACGTGCATCTGATAAGAAATGATTATGGGCTGTTGCCTCTTTTCTTGTAGATCAAAGGAGGACCTACAATTACTATAGCACGTTGCCATTCACAAGTGACAAAATGTATGATGAATTTGGAAGAGAAGGTTCCAAGAATTTCACAGAAATGAGCCAGAGAATTGAATCAATGGTAAGCAGTTTTCCTCCACTTTTAGAGCATTTGCTGTTGCTTTTTAACATTTGTTTTAGTATTCTAGCTTCTAAAAATCCATTCAACTGATCTTTACATGCCTTTGCAAAATGGTAAGAGGCCATAGATAAGTGCTATAAAACAAAATTAACACTACATGATATAGAAGAGTATGTCTTTCAAGCCTGAACCAAATGGCCTTTACTTGTTTATTTATGTCCCTTCTACTCACCTTTCTTTAGCTGAGGCCACAGTTTGATTAGTAAACTCCATCAACCCTGGGGATATGAGGGTAGATCAAATATTGTAGTTGTTTTGTAGACTTCCTAAGAGACCCTGAGCAAAGGCTTGCCAAGATTGAAACTACTCAGACACATACATGATTAGTGTTTTACCTTTTCAAAATATGCAACTGTGAACCATCTTTTGTTTATTTTATTTTATTTTAGATAAAAAAGAAACAGAAAAATCAAGAAGCAAACAAACATAAAAAACAAAAAACAAACAAACAAAAACAACAAAAGCAAAATGACAATAAAAATGACCGAGCAATAGCTATATAGGCTCTCAAAACAAGATGACAGAAATTCAGCGATAGTTGTCACACTGCATATTGTCATCTTCAAAATAGTGCCTAGATTACCAAACACAGGAATAAAACAAAACAGTAAAACAGAACAAAATATTAGATTTAAAAAATAAGGCAGAAGGAAATCCCCCACAGCTGCCACAGTACACACTGCCATCCTCCAAATAGGTGCCCAGACCACCAGCGCCAGGCCTACAAAGTCAATCAAACATACAAGCATCAAGCTATTCCCTCACCTCAGTTCCCCTCATCTCACCCTGAGTCCTCTGAATCAGCCAGTTGCTTACAGGGGAGGTGGGTGTGATGCTTTTCTGGTTTCCCAACCTGTGGTGGACTCCGGTTCACAGGAAGGCCCATGGACCAACTTTTGGTACACATTTCTACAGGAGACCCATGGGTACAGCTCTCTGTCCTTAAAACATCAATATTTATATTGAGCATCTATTTACATTTAATCAAATATTTGAGGAATTGGAAAAGTTATTCTTATAGGCCAAAATAATAAGGGCCTGAGTGATTGATGCTTGTCATTATCAGAATATATAAAGAATAATTTTGACTTTTCTTTTGTGAGGTAATTGATGGATGATATAATGGAAAAGACACTGAACCAGAAGTTGGAACCTATAGTTTTAACACCATCATCAAGCCAGTGATATGCCATTTGGCACCTCTCTTTATCATTCTGGACACATTTTCATACATGAAAATTAAGGTGTTAAATATATATTTTTCAAAGTGCCTTCTAGTGTAAATATCTTGAATTAGAACATAAGAGAAGTGATTTGTGTCAGTTTTTATTTACTGTAATGAAATAGCAGAGGCCAATTACTTCATCAAGAAAAAAAAAAGGCTTCTTTTGACTGACGGTTGTAAAGCTAGGTCAGGAGCCACATGCACTGTGATTGTCTTACTGGCATCTCCAGGTTGAGCCACGTGGCAAAAGATGAGGTGCACATGGGAATGTTCTTCTGTTCTCTCTCTTTTCTTGTATAGACATTAGGATTCAATTAGGGGGCTCTGCTCTAATGGCCTTATCTAATCTAATCACCTTCCAAATGCTTTACCTGTTAGCATCATAGTCAGTTTGAACCTACACTTCTTTACTACCTCCCAGTGAGGATTAAATTTCAACAAAGAAGTCTTAGGAGAAGCACAACTCATGCCTAAACTATAGCAGGGCCATACTCCTCCCCTCTGACAAACTGCTGAGCAAAGTGAAAGACAGGGGATCTGGTTATCTTGCTGAGATTAAATCCTGCTTACATCCGTATATGCAAACGGCAGATCTGGAACATCTCTGAAGAAACTCTGAAGACAAGATAGAAATAGACTTATAAAATAAGAAAAGAAATGTAATTTAGAAAGTCAAGAAACAATACAACTATTTTTCTTGTTTTTTGTGCCATTTGCCAAATTAAACTTTTAAACTTTAGATCAATTTGATCTAAACAAATATAGATAGGACTCTATCAGTAATGCTTCCAATATTAATATTTTTGAAATTATTTGATAAAATAATCTTAAGTAAAAGTGTCTAACATAACTCTTCAGAGGACTTAGTTGTCTTACTGTACTTGGATACACAGACTCAGGAGTCAGTGAAATGTAAGAAACAGCCCCTAGCATATCACAATCATGGTTAGTAAATGGTCATAAAACAAAGGCCCAGAATGCTGAACTCCTTACTTATCTACACTTCTAACTTTAAAAATTAAGTTCACTACACATACTATTTATAATAGTAAGAAACATAGCCAAAATACATGCTCCCATCATGTTAAAATAATATTCACAAATGTGTTTGTTAGGTATTGTAAACTCCTGCAGGCTTTCTAGAGAGCATTTTGGGTACTGTTCTAGGTACACATCTTGCCAGAATACTGACAGCTTTTTCATTAGTTTTGAGAACTACATACCACCTCTATGCAACCATTTCTGTTACTCAGGTATCACTTGATGAAATTATTTTGTTTTCTTTGTCTACCTAGAAGAAAAGCCCTGGTTTCAAGAATGTAAATACTGACCTTTACTTTTCAAAAGACATATTAGTTTGTAAACATTTCTAAAAATTTTAAACTTTGATGTCTTTCTGGGTAATAGAGCAGAAGTCACTTCTGGCCGCCCTCTGCCGCCCCAGCTGCATTCACATTCAGGAGGATGGTGCAAGCATCACTGCATGGGGACCGCAAGGCTCCTCAAGTCCTGTGCATCATGGAATGGCTACAGTGTTGTTTGCTCTTTCTTTTTAAACAATATCGCTGAGCTATGAATTATCTTGAATACCAATAAATTGTTCTTGCTGACATATTTTAAATATTTTTTTGAACAGGTAAAAAGTGCATTTAATGAGTATCCACTGAAGGGAGAGCTTGTCAAGTCTCACATTTTCAAGTTCAGGTATGTGGACCTAAAATGCGGACTTCTGTGTTCCATTTAAAGGTGAGGCTATCATCGTGGGCACAATAACTATATTTTAAAGTATTAATGACATAATTCTATTCAACAGCATTTATGTCACACCTGTCCTGTGTGAACTGTGGCTTACAGTGTCCCTTACCCTTCTACTAACCCTGATAGTGAGTATGTACAATGTGCCTGCTAGAGACAGAGTGAAATCCAGGCCTGTGTGATAGCATTGTTATTTGATGATCTAACACACATCCCTTGACTTAGTTGCAGTATCCTATATGAAACAGTACAGTAGAGATTTGTCTTTATCTGTTGGTTCTCCTGTCAAGTTTGTTTACTTTCTTCTATTCTGCCTCCTTATGCTCCAAATGAATCCCAGATCTGCCAATCAACTACCAATAAATAGACAAGTTCAGAATATAATATTTTAAATAAAATACTACATTCAGATTTTACATAATATCTTAAAGCAAATTATTTTCTTTTTTTGAAAAATAAGATAAAATGGCAGTATTGTTCTAGTGACAAAATTTTAAGATTCATTCCCATGTCTGTTACTTAGCTAACATCTCTGAAGCATAACTTTGACCACCTTCTGAAAATTCTGGACTCTACAGTGTGTGAGATAGTGTCTGTCCTTGGATTTGCCACTACTGTTCCAATCTTTAAATTTCTACTTTCTACATGAATTTCTAAATAGTGGAATTCCACTTTCTAACTCCGGTCTGAATTACCTTTCTGATTTCAGTAACTGTATGCTTGCTGATGTACATCTCCACAAAGAAGTCCCACAGAAAATTCCTTGATGTAAGGAAAACCCAGGCACATTACTGAGAACCTGGCAGTCCCTGTCCCCGCCTCCCCTTTGCAGGCTCCTTCAGAGCTTGTATATTCTTCCAGGTTTGCCTCGCGAGGCTCTTTCCTATTTGCTCACCTCCTCGTCCCTGTGGCTGCTGCTGCTGCTTGATATTCTTTCTTCTCTTACTGCCACAGTTACAAGTGTGAGTTTCTTAGGAACGTGTAAACAGTCTCAGACACGTCGAAATATGAAAGGATAATTTGAGCCTGAAAAAATGAATCTGATTTAAGAATTAGCTAAACACATAAATATGCTCACTATGCTTTTTGTTTGTTTGTTTTGTTTTCGTACCATGAATTGAATTCATCTCCTTGGGCTTGCCAGGCAGGTGCAGCACTAACGGAGCTGTATGCTCAGAATAAATTTGCTCAGTCTCAGCTCAAAATATTAGAAAGAATAAGTATAAATTTCTCAGAAAAAAAGGAATGATAAAGATAGTTTGAAAAATGTTTAAGAGAATAAAAGAAAAATTAGGCCATTAGAAAAGGAAAGCAGGGAAGGACATTTCTGAAAGAAGCGTCAGTCTTGCTAAAGATAAGTATCTTCAAGGGGAACATAGTGGGAATCAAAAGATGCTCCTAATACCACGTACAGTGAGTGCTGGAAAGAGTCCAGCTGATGTGACAGCTGGAAGCCATGCCTGTTCCAGTAGGAAGCAATTCTCTGGGACAGAAGGAGGAGAAACAGGCTGTAATGAAGTAGATATCAGGCAGAGGGTGTCTGCCCTGTCATGAAGGTTCACCAGGATTAGAGAAGTAGAAGACAAGTTGAATACTGTGGTACAGAAGCTTTTATTTGTTTTTAGTCTGGACTAAGAGAAAAAGGAAAGAATAAACAATAGTACAGGACTGCTGAGGCAGTGAAAAGTTTGAGACAGAAAAAACTTAATATGAGTGTATTTTCTTTCTGATTGCAAAAGCTATATAAAATTCCAGAAACTCAAATATGAAATAAAAAGCAAACTCCTCTTACCCAAAGTCCCATCCCAGAATAACATATCCTTCACAATTCATCGTGAGCTTTATTCCAAGGACTGTGTGAAGATCTACTTAAACTTTAACTGACTGAATCTTTTACTAAAAGCACTTGTCAGTGAAAATGTAGCCACTGTCCCATTGATGAACACTTTGACTGTTAGTTATTCATATTTAGAACATGAGGCAAATGCTGTCAGAGAGGATACTCACATTTATAACATATGAAATTCTCACAATGCAAATGAGATTCTCATTTGTTTCTGTTTGTAGTTTATGAGAGCCAGTGTTGCTACAATGTTTGGGGAACAGAAACTCTGTTAGGAACTGACTGTGAAAGGAGGCACTGAGTAGCCAGTGTGACTGCAAGGTAGCACAAATGGCATTAAGCCTAATTAATGCTTTCTCTTGAAAAATACTGTCACAAAAGTCATGCAATTTGAGAAGTTTTCAAAAAGCCTTGTATTAAGAGTTGTTTTGGAGAGCCTGAAACTTACTTGAGAAGTCAATAGATTTAAGGAACTAGAATTAAACTCAATAGCCAAATGTACAGTTGATTTTATACTTACCACACATTTCACATGGTAATTTTGAATGGTTGATGAGATAAGTATCTTTTTATATCAATAATCATGCACTTGATTAGACCTCTTGGTAGTTAGGGCACTGTGAGCCTACTATCTTACCATCAGGGTAGACAAGTTGGAGTTGTTTTTTTTTTGACACAGGGTCTCACTGTGCAGTTCAGGTTGGCCTTAGGCTCACTTTGTGGCCCAGGCTGGTCTTGAACTTGCTGGTCTCCTCCTGCCTCAGCCTCCTGAGTGCTGAGATTACAAGAGTGCACCACCATGCCTGGTTTTGAGTTTATGGCTCCGTGTGTGTGTGTGTGTGTGTGTGTGTGTGTGTGAAATGAATGATAAAGAAGAAAAAACAAGTTGTGCTGTTACCATAAATCAGTCAAGCACCTTCTTTCCCTTTCTTTCTCCCCTTCTCCCTCCCTCCCTTTTCTCCTTCATCCTTCACTTTCTCCTTCCCTTCTTTCTTTCATTCTGTTGTCTTGTTTTTTGGTCCACAGTCAGGAGGAAGATGGACCACTGGCTCACATGCTGCTCATTTTTAGAATCCGTTCTACTGAAGATCCTGAAGTCATTAATAAAATTATTCAACGTGTTCTACATAAAAAGCTGAAAAATGCAGTAGGACCTCCTAAGGTTCATCCTGAGTTAGTTGAAATTAAAAGTAAGTTTTTTGTTATTTTGTTTACTTCTCTCACACAGAAAACTTTTATGTTAAATTTGGACACTGGTTTTAATTTCTTGGATGTCCTTTAATTCTGGGGTTCTACTCTCAATAAGATATTGCTTTGTAAGTGAATTAGTCCTAATAAAGTATGCTAATTTTTATAAGGTTCTTAAACATGCACCTTATTCTATACCGTTTCTTTGTTTTTCAGAAATCAACAAGACAGAATCAGACAGCTATCTGAACAATTGTAAGTTTAATATGTTTATTACAGTTGCATTACCCATACAAAGTGCTGACTCCAGGCCTAGTCTTTCATTTGCCTACAGAAGAGTACCCCACCAAGTTCAGAGGAGACATTTACTGGTTACAGAATCAGTGCATTCTACATTTGTCTTTAAAAATGCAAGAAACTCTGTTATTTACCAGTTAGGAATGTTTATTAATTTATCTATTTATGTAAATATGGAGCCAAAAGATAATCTTATTTTATAAATGGCATATGTCCTTCTTACCAATAGTTATTGAGGGCCTATAATTGTAAGACAATAAGAATACAATAAGGATAAGATATAATCTTGGCCTAAAGTAGTATATATGCGAGCACTAGATTCAGAAAACTATTGTAGGAGCATACAGTTCCACAATAACAATTCTCAACCAAGGGTAATTTTATTGCCCAAGTTATCGTGTACCACTATAGCAATTTTTTCATGACTGTAGGTATTTTTATGATGTAAATGCTACTGGAGATATCTAATATGCATGAGGCTGGGGTCCTCTACAACACTCAGTAAAGCACAGAGCAACTACCCTCAATAATTATTTGTTTCAGCCAGGCATGGTGGTGCACTCCTGTAATTCTAGCACTTGGGAGGCTGAGGCAGGATTTTTGCAAGTTTGAGACCGATCTGGGCTACAAAGTGAGCTCAAGGCCAGACCGAACTACATAGCGAGACCTTGTCTCAAAAAGACAAATAGATTTAAAAAAAAGAATTATATAGTTCAAAATGTCTTTGGTGACAAAATTGAGAAACTGTATCATAAACAATGCTGAGGAATATTGTATATATATGCACAAATACAATATATACAAACATAGAATGTGTTTTGTTTGGTTTTTGTTGTTAAGAAGCATCAAAGAAGTTATAACCAAACCAGTATGAAAGCAGGGAAATTAGGAGATCATCCTAGGAGAGATCATGTCTGATTTAAATCTTACAAGATGAATAGGAGCTGACTGTCAGAACAATGAAGGTTTGCAGAAAGATATGAACATGAGAAAACATTTGATACTTGACCACGAAGTACAAGAAAGTTGGTATATAGTAACATGGATGGAATCTTAGAACAACTCCTGTTATTGTGAATGATAGCATTCTAATTTCTTTCTTGGTAACTTCATTACTGGTGTATAGGAATGCTGTTGATTTTTTTATCCTGCTACATTGCTAAATTTGATTATTAATTCTAGGAGTCTTTTGGTGAAATTTTTGGGTCATCTATGTAAAGGACCAGGTTTTCAGCAAATAGTAATAATTTGGTTTCTTCATTCCTATATATACCCCTATATTTCTTTGTTTTGCTTGGTTGCTCTGGTTAAAGTTTTGAGTATCATATTGAACAGGAGTGGTGATAGTAGATGTCCTTATTTTGTTCTTGATTTTAAAGAGAAAGCTCTAAATTTTTCTTATTTAATATTATGCTGGCAGGAGTTTTGTCCTAAACGGGTTCTATCAGGTTGAGCTAAGGTCCTTCTATGCTTTTTTTCTTCAGATTTGTTTAAAAATTGTGTGAGTTCTCTTACATGAGAAACCTGAATGACAGATAAATCAAAGAGCAAAATAAAAGATAGCAAAATAAAACTTAGCAAATGAGAAGGGGACTAAGAAATGTTTGAAGGCGGGGGTCAGGGGATGTGAAACAACTTTATGGTCTGTATGTACATGTATCAGATACCCAGCGTGAATGTCTTCATTATGTATTGCGAATATGTACTATTAACAAATTTTAAAGAAAACAAAATTAGTGTTAATTAGTGTATCATCTTTCTTTGGCAGGCTGTGGGACCCGAAGGGTCGCATCTGTGAAAGAGAGTGTCAGGATTGTGGGTGGGACAGAGGTAGAAGAGGGAGAATGGCCGTGGCAGATCAGTCTGCAGTGGGATGGGGTCCATCGCTGTGGGGCAACTTTAATCAACAGTTCCTGGCTCGTGAGTGCTGCTCACTGCTTCCAAAAGTAAGTCCTGGCCTTAAGAATGTTTGGGGTCAGTGGAGGGCATTGTTTCCCTATTGACAAGTAGGTATTACAAAGAGAGTTCAGGTCTCATGAACCTTAGTGAGGGGTTTTGTGTCCTGAAATTGAAAATGATGTCAACATGTTTCTGTAGATAAATTATTGTCAACAAACATATGATAGTTTGTCAAAGAAAGCACACACTTTAAAATCATCTTCATCTTTTAAGCTTGATATCAAAGTGAAGAACCGAGGATCTTTATTGGAGACAAAACCTGGACAGATTGTAGGATTGACCTCAATGTGGAAATTCCTTGGAGGAAGAAAGCTAAATTAAATATGAATAAATTGGGAGGTAGCAAATTATACAACTGAGTATGTTGGCCAGTTCTATTATCAGGAATACAGATCTTTTCAACCCAGTCTCAACCCAGGATATAGAACAGTAATGCTTCGTTAAATGAGTGTACGGCCTTTATGGTTGCTAGAGAAATGTGTATATTTGTTCATTGAGAATATTAAGCACATAGAATAAATGTAAATTTGTAATTCTGTAGAGGTTGTTATCTCTGTATGGACTTTGGAGTCACTGTTGTCCCATCACATCAAAAGGCTGTGGGTCCTAGCATTTATAACCTAGCCCATGGTCCATGGTGGCTTTTCTACCTGGTCTGCCCCCAACTCGACTCTCAGGTTAGAAAAGGTTTGTTTTAATGGATAGAAACTATTACTTTAAAAAAGAAAAATTATATTGACAGCTTTGGACTAAGTTATTTCATATCAGTGACTAAATTGCTAGCACAGTACAATAGAATTTATCCTTTATTTTTTCTCCCTAGGTATAAGAACCCAACCAGATGGACTGCTTCCTTTGGAGTAACAATAAATCCCTCCAAAATGAAAACAGGCCTCCGGAGGATAATTGTCCATGAAAAATACAAGCACTCATTGCATGATTATGACATTTCTCTTGCAGAGCTTTCTAGCCCTGTTCCTTATACAAATGCAGTGCATAGAATTTGTCTCCCTGATGCAAGCCATGTGTTCCTCCCAGGGGATGAGCTGTTCGTGACAGGATTTGGAGTAACACGGAATAATGGTGGGCATCTAAAGAGAAACTCAAATCATATTGACTTCATTTGGGATTCTAAGGCGTTTGAGGAAAAGAATGTTTTTAATCCCAAAATATGTTGGTTGGTTGGTTATATGGACCAGAGTTAAGTCAATCTCTGTGTCATTTAAAAGATGCAGAAATTATTTTCTGCCTTAATTTACTATTAATTACATATTCCCTACAGTAATATTTGAAAAAGCAAATGTAATTATCCAGTTTAAGAGATATGAGAGCATTGATGTATCCAACAGTGAAGGTCAGGTAATCATAAGTCCACTGTTCTCTCTGAACAAAACTTCATAACCTTAAAAATGGACTAGAACTTACTTAAATAACTTGTGTTTCTTTCCTATGTACCTGAATTTTCCAGTTAGGAAAGAATTATCTTCTTAAATTTTAGTTTATCTAAATCATACATATTGTATGATTAAATATTACCATTTTATTTCATACTTATTAAAGACTTTTTTCTTCAGGTTTACAAAGTATGTGTACATCTACAAATGAAAGACTTTTATCCTTTTAGGTTACGCTCAGAATCGTCTTCGGCAAGTACAGATTAATCTCATAGACACTAAAACTTGCAATTCACCTCAAGTTTACAATGGTGCTATAACTCCAAGAATGTTATGTGCTGGTTTCTTAAAAGGAAAAAGAGATGCATGCCAGGTAAGTGCCTTTATCTATTAGCGATGTAGGGGAAACATAGCTCCAAACCTGCACTGTGTCAGATGTGCCAGCTTTGTGTCCCTTGATATCACAGAATGAATTTCAAGAGACTACAGAGGTTAAAAGTGGGAATGGTTTGTTGATAGATACCTTCTGAGAGACAGGAGAGGTCCTGGAGTGGGTGGCCATTGAGGCCCTTTGTGTGGAGTAATTTATCCAGCACAGTCACATTGTGGATACAGTGTGTGTCAGGCTGTATTCAGCCTATACAGTTACTAGGGTAGCTCCTTAGCTAACATTGACCCAGTTAGGAAGCAGGTTACACGGAAGGTACACGGAAAGAGCAAAGGCATTTGGGGAAGAGATGGTTCTTGATGCTCTGCTCACTCATCTGGTGAATAGATGCCTCTCTGGACTTCCTGTACCAGAAGGTACTCATCCAAGTGTATAATTCCAGGTTACTGCTCATCCTTTAGGGAGCATGGCAGGCTGGCCACTGCATCTTCATCTTGAGGGCTGACCTCAGATGTCTCTCCAGCCACAGTTCTGATGTCTATTTTTCACTGATGCCCTTGAGAGCCAGCCCCTCTCTGACTGTATATTAATCTGTATCTAATTTAGCCACTATGTCATTATTAGGCTGTGTAAAGTTTTGTTCATCTTTTTTGAAATCAGTATTGATTTACATGAAGTTACAAAGAGTTTATACCAGATTTGTATACCAGTTTTCCTCAATGATTGTATCTAACATAACTATAGTACAATATAAAATCCAAAAAATTAACAAAGTGCATTTAGATTGATGGCATTTTGCTGCATGTATAGATTTATATATCCACCACTGAAATGAAAATGAAGTCTGTACCATTACAAAGATCTAGCTTATCAGTAACATTTTGTGCCCCTACTCACATTACTAACATCTGGCAATCACTAATTTGTCTTCTTTCTCTATAATTTTGGAATTTCCAAAATGTTATAAGAATAAAATCATGCAGTAACTTTTTGGAATTTCATTTTAATTTTTCTATTAATATTTTTGACTATCTGTAGAACAATTTTAATGTCTCTTCTGTTATCTGTCTCTGTCTCTCCATATATATCTGTCTTATTGTCTACTGGTATTAACATCTTACTAGTTTAAATGGAGTAAAGAACAGAAAGCTTACTTTCCTTCAGTTCTCTTATTGCTTCCATGATTGGAATTTTGTTTTCCTGTATATACTGAGAAACACATCATAGAATGCTTTTCTTCAATTTCCAAACATAACTTAGAAAACTCAAGAGGAGAAGGAAATTATTTTTATTCACAGTTTTGTTCTTCCCCCTTTCCTAATTTGATTATTCCCTTTTTTTCTTAAAAAAAAAACACACCTTTTTTGTCTTAGAAACTTCTATCAGCAATAGTAATAATAATAATAATAATATATCATTAGTCTTTTTGAGACAAGGTTACACTATGCAATTAAGGTTGTCCTTGAACTTGCTTTGTGGCACAAACTGGCCTAAACTCACAGTGAATATCCTGCCTCTTGAGTGCTAGGATTACAGGTGTGCACCACCCATCTGGCAATCAGCCATTCTTCAGTGTAGGTCTGCTGCTAGAAAATTTTCTTAAATTTCCATTGTGTGCCAGTGTCTCAAATAAGTAAGTCTGTTTTACCTCCTTCTGGAGCATGGACATCTTTTCAAATCCTGGTTCTGCTATACAGGTTATATAGGATTGTGTTGTCAACTTTGAATCTTTGACAGGTAAAAATATTGACCTCCTTATCTTTATGTATATTACTGATAGTAAAATCTTGGACAAGGCCAAAGAGTCAAAGTGGTGATTTAGGTATGTCACTAAATTCTCTTGTAATGTTTTTATTCATACATGTTTCCAGTACAGGATGTTTACATTCATCTTAAGGAGGGAGTACATGTACTGAATATATCTTGATTCCTTTTATTCCCTTTCTCTCCCCATCCATCTCCATCCATCCCTCGATCCCCTCTCCTTGTTTTCGTTATTATTATTATTAGTTTATGTTTTCAGCATATAAAGATTGACATCATTGAGGGTAGTTAGTACATGCACATGACGCATTTTAAATCTTTCTAGGCCCTGTCCCTACCTTACTCCCCCGCCCAGACTGATCGTTCCCTTCTCATTTGCAAATTGTTTCCTTTTAACAATCCTTTATTTTGCTCTGTACTTGTACTGATGATTACTCAAATAAGAGAAATCATATAGTACTCAAGCTTGTGCCTGATTTATTTTACTTATGTTTTCAAGGTGTATCATTTTCCTACAAATGTCTCAAATTCACCCTTATTAGTAGCCAAGTAATGTTCCATTATGTAGAGACATATTTTCTTTATTCACTTACCAGTTGATGAACATATAGGCTGCTTCCAAGATTTAATTATTAAGAATTATGCTGCTATAAACATTGGCATGTAAGTATTTCTGTAATATGATATCTCTAGCTCTTTTCAGAAGATATCCAGAAAAGAAACATCCGGGCCAAGTGGAATTTCTGTTTTAATTTTTTGAAAAATCTCCATACTGATTTCCATTATGGCTGTACTAGTTTGTTTCTCACTAACAATGGAAAGGGTTCCCTTTTCACTGCAACCATGCCAGTATTTGTTATTATTTGGTTTCTTGATAATTGCCATTCTTTCTGGCATAACAAAAATCTTAGTGTCATTTTAATTTGCATTTCTTTAACGGCTGGAGGTATTCAACATTTTTTTCATATATTTATTGGCCATTGTATTTCTTATTATGTGAAATGTCTACTTACTTCACTTACCCATTTTTATTGGATCATTATGTTGGGGGTCTACTGTTTTTTTTTTTTTTAGCTCTTTATATATACTAGATACTAGTCCCATTCCTGAGGAATAGCTAATAATTTTTTTCTCTTCTGTAAGTTGTCTCTTACTCTGTTGATTCTTTTGCTTTATAGAAGCTTTATAATTCGATGTAATCCCACTTGCTGATTCTTATTATTTCATGGGCAGTTGAAGTTCTGTTCAGAAAGTCAGAAGGTCCAATGGCGTCAAGAGTTTCACTTATTTTATATTCCAGTGGATTGTTTCTGCTATAATATTTAGACATTTGATCCATTTTTATTTTAGTTTTGCATTTAGTTTAGCATGGTGAGAGGCATAGGTTCAGCTTCAGGCTTCTGCATATAGTCAGTTTTCCCAGAACCATTTGCTGAAGAGTTTCCCTTCCAGTATATGCTTTTGGCCACTTTGTCAATGAACAAATAGCTGAATGTGTCTGGAGTTGTTTCTCTAGCCTCTATTTTATTAATCTGCAATGTCCACTTTTGTGACAATATGATGCTTTTATTTTTTTGTAAGTTATCAGGTCATGACCTAGATTCCTGATCTCCCAAACAAGTGTACGGCGGAGGTTAAATAAAAAGAGATAAATTGTATGATTTTTTTAGGGATCCAGGAGGGTCAAAACCCTTTAATTAAGCTCACAAATCTGAGGGCTGAGACAAAGAGTTTTCTGGACCACCCACTTTATTTATTAGGTCCAACAAGGGGCAGGGAAACTCAGTAAAGCCCAGGCAATGAGCAGAACCTTGGGAGTCACTTCAAGGACATCTCCAACTAATGAATCAAGTCAATTCAGTAGCACTGTCTTATCATGAAGACATGGTAGAAGTGAAACTGTAGGAATAATTTTTGCAGCTGCAGTCTCTATCTTGTTAATTGGGGTTGGAGCCAAGTGTCCACAGCTGTGGCCTTATCTTGCCCTTTGAGGTATCTCTGGTCTCACAGGCCACTACAGGCCTCAGCCAGGGCCAGTGATTCATAGAGGTTCACTTACTATGAATCATCTCCTGTCGCCAGGCAAGGGGCCGAGGCCTAGGACAGACTCACAGATAAACATAGAAAGCCAATTAGTAAAATTTAAATCCTGCTCAGAGCTGCTTCTCAATGGTCTCTAACAGTAAGTCCCTGTAGCCTTGTGCTGAACGTCAAGTAACGTATTTGAATGCTTCCTGCTCTTCTCTTTCTCACCTTTATCATGTTTGCTATTCTGGGTCTCTTACAATTCTACAGGAATGTTAGATTTGCTTTCTCTTGGTGTGTAAAGAATGCACATTGGTAGTCTGATTGGGGTGGTGTCAAATCTATGCATCAATTTTGAAAAAATGGCCATTTGACAATATTTGTTCTGCCTCTCTAGGAACAGGGGAAATCTTTCCATTTTTGGGGGTCCCTTTTTAAACTCCTTTTTCAGAGTCCTGTAGTTTTCTTTGTAGGTCTTTCACTTCTGTGGTTAAGTTTTATCCTACATATTTAATTTTTCTTGATGTTATTATGAGTGGTATTGTTTTCCTAATTTCTTTGTCTGTGACTCATTACTGTATACAGGAAGGTTACTGATTTTTATGTGCTGAGTTTGTGTCCTGAAACACTGCTAAATTTGGTTAGTAATTCACGGGACTTCCAGTGGAATTTTTTGAGTCTGCTTTGTAGCAAATCGTGGCATCTACAAATAATGAAAACTTGACTTCTTCTTTTCCTATACATCTTTATTTGTTTTCCTTCCTTGATTGTCGTGGGTAATGTTTTTTTTTTACTTTTTTTTTAAATTTTATTTAAGGAGGAAAAGAAAAAAAAGCAGAGAAAGGGTACAAGTTATACAGAATTTCAGAAAAAAATAAACAGTAGGAAATCACTAGTTAATGGATTACATATTGTCATCTTAGAAATATTTGTTCAAGTTACAAAATTAAAGCTTATATAGTGGACATTCAAACAGTGAGACCAAACAGTTCTGTTCAATGATCCAACAAAACCCAGTAATATCATTGTCTATCTTATACACTTAAATATACATGCAGTTATATCATTTAGAGCACTTTCTTTTCCTCTCTTTTGTACAATGACTAGTACACATTTTGGGTTTTATTGCTCCCACAGTTCTTATTACTTTTTTTGGAAGAGAGTAAAAGCAAATGTGAAATAACAGAACAGAGTCG